TATCACCCGAGGCGTTGAGAACAGAGCCCAGGTAGGTAAAGGTTGGGACGTTCTTAAGGGGCGTGTCTTTGATGTGGAACGTAGCAGGCTCAGCCTCCCGATGGCCCTGGTCCATTGATTCTGTTTTGCCACAGTTTATGAGGAGTCCAGCTCGTGTGTACGTGTCGTCTAGTATATCTAAGTTTTTCTGTAGACCTGCGGTAGTATGGCCAGTGATGGCTGCGTCATCTGCGTACTGCAGCTCTAGTACCTCCTCGTGTGTGACTCTTGTGTGGGCTTTCAGCCTGCGCAGATTGAACAGATTACCGTCCAATCTGTATGTGAGGGAGATGCAGTCCTCGGGGTTGATGCGCTTCTTAGCTGCTAGCATCACTGCGGCGAGGAACAAGTTGAAAATTACTGGAGCGATGACGCACCCTTGTCGGACACCTGTGCAGACTTGGAACGGGTCTGACTTACTTCCACTGCCTAGGACTCGGACCATGGCTCCTTCGTGCAGGGCTTTAAGTACTGTCAGGAACCTGTTGGGGCATCCAAATCTCTTGAGCACTTCCCACAGGAGTGGGCTGTTCACTGTGTCGAAGGCCTTTGTTAGGTCAATAAAGACCATGTAGAGATCTTGGTGCTGCTCCCTGCATTTCTCCTGTAGCTGTCTGAGTACGAAGATCATGTCGACTGTGCTGCGGTCCTTCCTAAACCCATATTGGCTCTCTGGGAGAACCTCTTCCGCCACAGCCTGGATGAGTCTCAGGAGCATGATCCTAGTTAGCACCTTGCCAGCGCTGGACAGGAGTGAAATGCCGCGGCTGTTGCTGCAGGTTGCCCTATCTCCTTCTTCTTGTAGATGCTGCCGAGGTCTGCATCCTTCCATTGCTGTGGAACACAGCCTGAGTTCCAGCAGGCAACTACAAAGGAGTGGAGACACTGAACAACTTCCTCGCCACCGTGCCGGAGGACTTCACCATGTACCTCGTCCGGTCCCGCAGCCTTGTGTTTTTAAGGGATCCAAGTGCTGCTCTCACTTCTTCAGTAGTAGGGAGGTTGTCTAAGCTATCCATATCCGGGAGCTTTGGGATGTCATCCAACACTCTTTCATCGACTTCCGTATGTCTGTTTAGGAGCTGTCTATAGTGTTCAGCCCAGCGGGCCAATATGGCAGATTTCTCAGTTATGAGGGTAGCACCATCGGCACTTCTGACAGGAAAGTGTGTGCCACGTCGCGGCCCGTATGCTGCCTTGAGAGCACTGTAAAATTGTTGATGGTTGCCTTTGTCTGCATAGCCCTGAATCTCGGAGGCGAGGCGAGTCCACCACTCGTTTTTCATTTTCCTTACTTCACGCTGTGCACAGGACCTGGCTTCGGCTAACCTGGCTCTGTTGGCTGGAGATGGGTTCCTAAGGACGGTGGCGTGTGCCTTGTGTTGTTCTGTGAGAAGAGTGCGGATGTCGTCCCTCTGTTCGTCGAACCAGTCTCGGTTCCGCCTGGTGGTGGTGCCGAGTACTTGGCGGGCGTTGTGTTGAGAGTGCTGGCCACGCTGTCCCACTCAGTGGTCAGTAGTTCTGTGTCCACAGGTGTGTCTTCCGGCATTCGAGTGATGCGGCTGGCCAGCGCTGTTTGCAGCTCTTCTCTCTTGTCAGTGTCCTCGAGGGCCTTTGTGTTGAGTTTACCAGCGTGGGTTTTCTTGCGTATGTGTTTCTTGATGTGAAGACATAGTTTTACACGTACCAGCATGTGATTCGACCATCCCTGTGCTCCTCTCATTACTCGTGTGATTTTTAACGTATTTCCGGTCGCGCTGCCGGACTAGGGCATAGTCCAGCATGTGCCATCTTTTAGATCTTGGGTGCATCCAGGTGGTTTTGTGCAATGTGCGCAGCTGGAACAAGGTGTTTGTGATCACTAGGGCATGTTCCGCGCAGAAAGTGAGAAGACGGAGCCCGTTGTCGTTGCACTTGCCTACTCCGTGAGTTCCCAAGACGTCCTTCCACAGGTGATGGCCTCTGCCAACACGGGCGTTAAAATCCCCCAATATAGCCAGTTTATCTGCGCGTGGTACTGCTCTTACTGCTGCAGTTAAGGACTCATAGAAATGGTCTTTGTCTGTCTCACTGGCAAGGAGTGTAGGAGCATATACACTGATGATTGATAGGTGTCTATTACTCTGTAGTGGTACGCGCCATGTCATTATTCTTTCACTGAGACCCTGTGGATCTTCCTTTGCGGTTTGCAGGATCTCTGTTCTCACTGCAAAGCCCACTCCGTACAACCTTCTTTCACCTTCTGGGAGACCTTTCCAGAAGAAGGTGTACCCTTCGCCTTCCTCTACCAGGGAGCCCTCAAACGCTAGGCGTGTCTCAGAGAGTGCTGCTATGTCTATGTTGTACCGTCCTAGCTCGGCTGCAATCAGTGCGGTGCGTCTCTCAGGACTGTCTGATTGGTCTGAGTCAAGTAGTGTTCGAACGTTCCAACTTGCTAGAGTCAGGTCCATTTTCTTTACATTGTTTTGACCGCATGAAAGGGACGCCACAGCGGGTGCGGTTCCCCGCTCGTGGTTTGATTGTGGAGCGAGCAATGATTAGGCCACCTTTTCTAGGCCCTTCCCCTTTGCTGGGGTGGGCAGTGCGATCCCTAAAAAGGGCTGCCCAGACGCTTCGGGCGCTGCCTCTAGAGACTGTCGCTCCTAGTCAGCCTTCCAGTGACCATCAGCACCGAAGCCGCCACACGTGCAGGGTAGGAACTAGGAGCTTCCAGTGGCATCCTCACCTGCTCCCGTCGTACCGACCCCATCGCCGTGGGACTTGTATAGTAAGTCAAGTCAGGGTAAGTTGAGTTAAGTAAGCTGACATGCACATAGATACACATATATAGAAGTGAAGCATGTGCTGAGTAAGTTTTAAGTGGAGAGGGGGCGCACAAACCCAATCCACTATCTTGGCCGCCCCGGCAAGGACTCCAGTGGCAGGGAGAACCGAGACGACTGGCTTGCCGGGAGGTTGCAGGGTGTCTGCGGGAGAATTTTCATCAACCGCTGCGCTGGCACCCAAGCGCTTGCTCCGAGGAGGAGCTGGAGAGTTGCGGGTGCTATTAGCCAGTTGGAGCTCGCCTGGGAACCGTCCCACCATGGTTAAACCTGCCAGGGGCGGCGAGAGAGCCGCAGGTAGACCTGTTGGCTCCCCGCCACGCCCCAGGTGGTATCGCAACCCAGGGTCATTGCAGCAGCCGTTGCCCGGGGAATACCGCTAGGAGGTTAGCACTCCGACTTAAACCCCAATCTATGAAACAACGTAGTTGTAGTTTATTTGAAATTTCTTATTTGCAAATACAACACATTTAAAAAGATATAGATTACATTTAAACAGAAAAAGGCTAAACATAATTTGACACCTCTGAATGGCTGTAACCCGAATTTGAAGTTGTGTGTCCAAACGGTATCAGTAAGATAGGCTGTATGTTGATAACGATAATGACACGCCTTATCCTCGGTGTATATGGTGAGATAACACCTGGTCATGTGCGATGACCACTTCATAAATCACCTTGTTCACTAAACTCACTCGGTGGTTTATTCGGTGGTTATCGCAACCGACCAGGCATTATATCACCACATACATGCAGGGGCGGGGCATTAACTATTTATTCAATTGGTTCCATTCGTAACATTTGACACGGTTAAATCCATTTGGACAATTTGAACAATAATATAAAATCTTTTGAAAATTATGTATACCATTTAATCAATTCAAAGGTATGACAACCAGTCATTTTGCTTTAGTCCACAGTTGACCTGGAGAGATGTACAACATCTTCTGGCACGCTCGTCCAGTAGCCATGGTGGCACGCTTTGTGGTGGGAACTGGCTAGTAAACTCAGCTTCTTTCTCAGGTACACTAGTGTTAAGCAATGTCTCACAGGCATGTGTTGTTTGTGTATTTGTTTCAACCATCATTGTCTTCGTCAGAAGGACTATGAAATTGTCTCGCCGGAGTGTGGGGAACTGCGGATTTTGCGATATAACTCTGGCAGGCATAATTCGACGTCCATGATTTTTGGCAGGCATATTACCGCTGTTGAGGTCGAAGTCAAGTACAAGTTTCGGCTTCGTGGGGGGTCCGTGCGTCACGTTAGTGCACCTTTTGTGTTTGTGGCTTGTTAGCAAGATAACTCAAGTATTTGTAAAATGTTGATTATAATTCTTGGTGTGGTGCTTACTATTGTTGGGACCAAGGTTAAGTTCGTTACTGAGCTTCGTGGGGGGTTTCGTTGTGACTACAGGGGGCATATTGTTAATTTTTCTTGTGAGCAGGATAACTTGTGTATGTGTGGATGGAAGTTAATGAAATTTGATAGGCATATTACAGTCGCGTGGTCTCCAAGATTGAGTTCAAAGATGAGAGTCGTGGAGGTCGTTATGTCCCCGTAATAGGACCTTTTGTGTTTAGAAATCCCCCACCTACATCTGCTGGGAGACAGCCGACAGCTGGATATAGCCGGGGAACCCCATAATGGGATGGGATCAAATGATGTTACATTGAGGGATTGTACTATAACTTCAGCAGGGGGAGGATAGGTTGGACATATGTCAACGTTATTTTCTACGGCCACACCAAGTAATTGCTATGGATGACGTCCACTGGAGACCTTAAATCTAATTACCTTAAATTTAAGGCAAGCGCGCAATAAAAACACGAAGGGCCGAAAAACGAGATGCCTAGATTTGGAATATACTAACTGTAGAAGTACAAATGTTAGGACACAAAGAACACAAGTCTTCTATTTGTCATAAAGACAAATTAACAAAGCAGCAGTAGTCACCCTGTTCTGATTCTTTCCTTTATAACATCTTCTCTTATTATATTTTGCGGCGCTGTCGTGACACTTTCAACACAGTAAGAATTTCTTGAACGTTTTTTTTTTCCAAGTAACAGTCCAAACTCAAATTACGTGGGGGGGGGGGGCGTAACACGGGTGACGACGCATCTGTATAATCTGCGGCAAACCGTTTCAGGGTGTTCTGTACCATAAAAATAGTACAGAGATTCTTTTGTTCTTTAGACCAAATTGATTATTAAAAAGAGTGAAGAATACGCATGTTAATTTCTCTAGAACGATGTACCTCTGACGAAGACATGAGATCTCCGACCTCTAGTTTATTCATGAGAAGCTCAAATCGACCTGCAAAATATATAGTTTACATGATTTCAAGTCCCAATAAACCCATACAGCATCTTAGTAGTAGACAAAAAATACACAACAGTGAGGAATGGTGCATGGCTCGTGTTCATTCGTTTGGGTAAATTTTAATCTTAAGTAACACATTTTACTTTGACATGCAGTTCAAACTCATAAACGTATTAAACCTTGGAATGATTTTTTTTTATTTCAATGCAGTCCATGACAAATGTGGGTTTGGTTTGATAAACACCGCTGATCTTGTTGAGCGTGCGAAGACGTGGCAATCTGTACCTCAGCCAGCTCTCGTGTGTGAGGTGTCGTCTGACAATGTCCTGTAGGTTTTGTAACTTTTTTTAGTTCTCAAGTAAACAGTGTAACGTTACAAATTGCCAATTCGGGTGAATTAGAGATCTTGACGCAATCGTGTTTCATATGACTCATATGATGTAACCATGCATATCATGCTTTCGACTGTAAATAATAGCTATTATTAACATTTTATTGACATTTACCGATGAACAGGGTAAAGGTCAAAGGTGAATCAATTGCCCAGTCTTTGTTGCTACTATTCACTTAATATCACTCCAAAACTCAGAAATCATCAGTATGAAACTTTCACAATTAAATTATTTAAGGTATTAACGTTACAGACGGTTGAAATCTGCTGGTTATTACATATTATTTCATCGTATTGCCATGATATAGACAATGGGTAACTGTGTTTCAGGGATATTCCATTCGACGGACAGACAGTCTCTGCACTTCACATCAGCAGTGGTTCATGTGGGATCAGATATCTGGAACACGTGCTTGTGGCAGTAAACATCGAGTTCCCCAGGAGAGGCCATCTGAGGCTTACATTGGCTGGTACGTTTTAGTAGAACTATTATAAAAGAATATTACAATATTGGTTTGTTCAATTTCGGCACAACATTATTGCACCCTACAACACATATGTGTCAATAAACATTGCTCTTCGATGCATAAAAAGACAGTCAAATGTACCTGTACAGTCCACAGTAGATCTCACGTGTGCCACTAGCCTTAATACAAGGCAACCTATATAACTATTTTATTCATCTCATAACATTTATCTGTTGCTTCATATTATGTATCTTTGTTGGTATGGCAACTTTGGTAAAAAGGTGGTAACGCCTTTCCGCCATAGCTTCCATTGTCATGGTGAACGTTTATGAATCTCTTTAACCAATTTGATAATCTATGACCGTTTGTTTTGATGTCAGCGCCGAGCGGAACAGCCTCTACTGTGGCTCCAGGGCGGGACCGTGATGAGACCCCGGACCTGTCCTGGAGCTTCCTCACCCTGCACAACTGGGGGGAGAACCCGCTGGGCAGCTGGCGACTGAGTGTGAGAAACACCCATCCTGAAACCTACAACAGCACAGGTTAGCTGCGAATCACGACATGCTTATGACAGAATTATAGAAATGCTTATACAGAATTGTAGATGAAATGCTTAGACAGAATTTAAACAAGACTGGCAATGAAAACATACATTGCCATGGCGACAGTGATTACTGTTAGGGTTATTGTTTGCATGATACTGCAATCATTTCATGATTTTGAGGAAAACTTGGTACCTGTTAAGTCTAGACAGATACTTTCTGTGACCCCCGGGGTCACAGAAATACATAGCTTTAGTTTTATGACTGTAAGAAAACCTAGTGAATTGAAAGAACGTTAAGAAACAATGCACTACCCACAGGAAATTGGCTATCAGCTATCGGCTATCTAGTACAGTAAAAGTACAGACACGTATCCTGTATCATGGTTTTGCGGTAACAGGTTACTGCGAAGACAACGAAAACAAAACCACCGCAAATATTTCTGCTGCTACGGTAGGTTATTGCACAGATGGGCAAAGTGTTGAACATTGCGGGATGCAGTTCACTTTACTATCAGTCGGAATATAAAATTTCTCACAACTCATTTCGCAAACACATACAGACACGCACACAAACACACACACACACACACACACAGAACACACACACACACAGACACTCATAAACGCGCGCACACACACGCACATACACACACACACACACACAGAATATACACACACACAAAAACATGCATAAACGCACGCACGCACACACACATACACACTGACACACACAGACACAGAACACACACAAACATGCATAAACGCGCACACACACACACACACACAAACATACACACACAAACGCGCACACACACAGACACACACAAACACGCACATACACAAATGCATGCATATATGCTCGCACATACTCACACAATGCATACACGCATAGGTCACATAAACTCACACACGCATGGACATACACACAGACACATTTCTCCCTCTCTCTCTTTTCGATCTCTCACACACACGCAGATAAACATACACAAGAACACACACATGCATGCGTACGCAAACAATGAAATTCAATGCACTTTTATAATAAATGACTTCTTAAATCTAAATTTCTTTTTAGAAAATAGAGGATTACATACTGCATTTTCTCCCACAGGGTCGCTTCGACGGTGGACCCTCACCCTCTATGGTAGCGCCACACTGCCTCTTCATTAGGTCAGCAGGAGTAGAGACGTGCTCGTACCAAAAACTACTTCAAAACAAAGATGTACTAGACATCCTCAGACGTAACGCAACTTTGCTATCTTTGCAATATTGGCATTGCAATATTGAACAAATAACAACAAATAACAGATGGATAAATACATGTGGATAGATGGATAGGTAGAGAGACAATTTTAGGTGGTTTATCATAGAAAAACAAGAGAAAACGAATGGTGTGGCTTTCATCAATATATTCCCTAACAACAAAAATGCAGGGAAATAATCTTATTCTGATTATTAATCTGATTATAATCTTATAATCTTTGTGTGCATACGGCATGATTGCCAGAAGTAGCTAACATTTGAAAGTATTTCATTAACTTTTCATCGTTGTGTATATGTAGCATAATTTGCAATTGCTATGGAGAGGTTGAAATTAAATCTATGGGTGAATCGGGATTTAGGTTTCTTGAAATACAGATAATGAGAACGTGCTCTAGAGTTCACTAAAAGGAGTGGGAATGTAATAGTGTAAAACAAATAAAAAAACAGGTGTGACGTAAAGACAGAGGATGGTGTGTTAGATTTAGGGCAGTTGCAGCAACCCATGTTGTTGAATGAGGAGTCTTTCATGCATATTTTCAGCGCGATCATCTGAATAAAGTCTGTTTCAAAAGTAATATGTTTTCCCGCATCTGTTGTAATTATGACTTCACCACTTAGTGGTGAAGTCATGTTGTTTCTGCTCACGTTTCTTCTTCTCCCCCTTCTCCTGCCATTTCTTTAAATTGATTCAACTCCTTCATTTTGGGGCCAAATAACATGACATTTGGCATGAAGGTAGAGTAGGCAAATACCCCCTGGCGTTTGTTTTCTCATTTATGTGATACAGGCTTTTAGAATGGTTTTATTGGGCACAATTGGACCTAGATTGCGTGAGTTGTCATTAAACTTCACTAAACGCCATATCGTATTTTTAAAATTGTTACCATGTAAGATGACACGGCCAATTTGAGGTTACTGCCATGGTTATATGAAAAGGTTTGGATCAGCATATTCTTTTCGATGAGTCAGAAGCATCTTGACTGAGGCAAGCCCGAGTGAGGACCGTAAATAACTGCACCAAAGACGGGTTCTTTTGTTAAATGAAATCCGAAAATATTTGATGAAAAAACGCAAGAAGCACGTGCACTATGTGGTCTTATGAAAAAAACGCACTAAGCACTACGGAAAACGTATGCATCTTACGAATAAAAACATACGATTCTTTCCAAACCGGGGTCGTTATAATGTTTCTTTTTAGTGTTTTACAAACATTATTTTGACTCTTCAAAGCCTCACTGTGTTTAACAACTATTCTGCTTGTTTTCAGCGCACCTATACGCGTTACAGCATTTCTCCTGACGCCGCCATCTTGGATATCACGCCTGCATGGCTCTTTATCACGTGACACAGAAAGCTTGTCATCCTGTCATCCATATCCATTCTAGCTCCAGCTCCAGTTCACTTCTCTGGTCATTTCCACTGTCTGCAATAACTAAATATATCTAGCTGATCCATTTTAACACAAACACACGCACAATAAGAATGCTTACATTATATCAAATATATATAAAATTCAACGAGCTCTGCAAGCTAACTCACGCTTTTAATCAGTATTCCATGTCTCAGATCTGTCTTATTGGTTCTGTACAACAATTTTGTACCGATTGTTTGAAGTTAGACATATTTGGATATAAAAATTGACGAGAGATCTTCTTGAGATGTTGGATGAATGTCTTCTACATGCACCTTCAACATGATACCGGGCGGGCATTTTGTTTACATGCCAATCCATGTCGTCATTAAAAACATGAAATTAGCAGTTCAACGAATGAGAGAATGGAAATCACCAACGGTATAACCAATGAGGAAATGGCTCTTGTCCATCATTTTTTCGCTTTACATTGCTGCGTTTTGATGCAGGTGGGCAGGGGTATCAGCCCTTACACTGTTTTCATCGCATCATGAACATTTACATGGCAGCATATTTACATATTGTGTCCACAGAGACATTGTCTATAACTCTCTGAAAAGCGCATTTAAGAGCCCACCACTTATTCCAGTTTTTTTCTCATAACATAGTTTTTGTTTTCTCAAACGCAGTACGTAAGCCCATTGTACACACAAGAGTCTTTAAGAATGATTACGAAACTCAAGACGGATTTTTGTAATTGAGCGACGATTTACATCGCAAATCGCAAAGATGTGATGGAGTGGAAGGAGTTTGCCATGACTAATATCCGTACTGCACCCGCAAACATTCATACACGACTGTTTAATTTGGTCCAGTTCAAAATTGGCAGTGGCAGTGCGTGGACAGAGTCATTAACGATAACCCATATTATTTCTATGATTGATAGAATCAAAATGCAACAGAATAAACAATATCTTAAAAATACCTTCCATACGTCTTGACTTTTATTTTACAAGATAATTAAAATTATCTTGTAAAATGAAGCTGAAAAGTTGGCTAATTTTACGCAGAGCGTACTAAAAAGCGAAATATTTCTACTTTTGTTATATCCGTATTTTTTAAAAACAATTTTACGAACAACGTACTAAAAAGCGCAATATTTCTTTTTTTTAACAAGAACCATGCACAGATAGGGCTGTAGATAATCTACGCGTATTCAAGACCGCTTGGGGCAAATCTACGTTCGCGGTGGATCAAGACTCGTGCGTGATCATAGTCATAACCCAGTCAGACATAGAGATAGAAAGTCGCGGATCCAGATGCCATACCAGCCTCAGATAGGCTCATATCCACTGTTTATGTTGAGGCACATTGCCGATATCCTTTCCCTTGTCATTGGGATACGTGAGACATATTGTATGAAGGTAGCGAGTCGGTGGATGACCAGGGCGGCAAACTGGACACCCAGGACAAAGGTGAAGGTGACGAGAAACACTAAGCCCAGCGGGTTTGTGTTGATAACCTGAAAACAATACAACAAAGACTACTGTAGGTCTGTAATTATATAGTCACATTAGAAAAGGGTGCTGCATGTCCTTACATTTAGCCACTTATGCTTGTGAGACATGGACATTGAAAACAAGTGATAAACAACTCCTATTTGCATTTGAAATGAGATGTCTGTGGGTTATCCTGAATGTCTCAAGGAGAGACAACATTTAGAAACGAGGAAATCTGAGCCATGCTGGGAATGGAGAATACAATTATTCAGGATATTCGTAAAAGAAGGCTGAGGTGGTTTGGACTCCCAGACTCTTTTGTATATGGGGCCTACCACCGGGACTTAAAAAACCCCAGGCCTAGAGGAAGACCACCCCCCCCAAAAAAAAATGTCGGAACCAAATAGCATATGACACTGCATGGATATCATTCTATCCTGTATACATACTATGTTCTGCTTCCTAATGTTTCCCTAGAAGATACGATCGCAAGACTTGAGGATTCGAATGGAAACTCGAAATAAGCTGGGGTGTACCCCTTTTATACTGTAAACATAATTTGCAATGCCAGTCGGGGAAAATCCCCTTCATTATCTTGCAAACCACAGCTGTCATTACACGTCATTCCAACGAACCACAAAATATTTCTAACATTGTAAGACACTTTTTAAGGAAAATACAGAGCAATGGAAGTAACAAGGTCACATTTAGACAGTTTACCTGCAGTTCAGCATGTTCAACCAAGGTAAACATCAGCACCAGCCACACTGAATTAGCCACAAGATACGTCAGAAGGTAGGAGTTCCGGAGCTGCTGAAGATTCTGTTTGAACTCATCCTCTTTGTTCTGGTCAAGACGGAACTGTTCTGTTGTGGGGTCCAGGTAAGGCTTTTTCGAATGGGCAATGACGTCTGGTGGGTGTTCTTGAAACTTTCCATCGATGTCTCTTTTTGCTTTGAGAATCCTCTCCTCACCTGTAAAGTAAACAAAAGCATAACGCCTGTCAAACAAAACTGGCCGTTTTCATCGACATTTCTCGCTAGTTATTATCAAAAAACGTTTGCCACTCGCTGTAACGAGCAGTCATCATAGACAGGCCAGATGGGGTCGCGGGCGCGGGTCACGGCCGCGTTTGGCCGTTGGTCTGTTTAGGCAAGTCCCTTAATTCATACGTCTATGGGAAAAAGTCATGGATAGATGGCCTACTTATAGAAGATTACTTCACATTTGTTTAAAAACTGGAATTCGCCAGCTTAGTCTGGGATCTGTGCACCGTCAAGGACATAAATAGGATCAAAGCAGTTCAGCGCAGAGCGGCTCGCTGGGTTGTACACCAGAGTAGGCAGATTTCCAGCGTAAGCGACATGTGTAAGGTCCTCCATTGCATTGGCCTTCATTACAGGAACGCCGGAGGAAAGCTCGGCTAATCAACTTTTAGACGTTTCACACAGGTTCGTTGATTATCAACTACACGTCAAAGCCTACTCCCAGTAGACCATCCAAGCACATTCGCCTCACCCACTCTGCAGCCTACCAACTACCCAAGCGTAGAACCCTCTACAAATAAACCCTCGACATTTTCCGCGCATAATCCGCGAGTGGAACTGTCTCCCACAGGACATGGCCCACTGTTCCACCTTGGAGGGCTTAAAGTCGCAGTTATAACCCCATCCTCCTCCACCCCAACTCTCCCCTTCGCAGCAACCTACAATGTTCGGGACATAATCTTCGGCATGCTGAAGGTGGTCAGCACAACAGAAAAGACCACTACGGTCAAGCACGGGCCCTATGGTAAGCGGTAATAAATAAATAAGAATGAGGTACATTTTGTAATAGAATTAGCTGCAGTTCAATACCCAAATGAAAGACTACTCACGCAGCGTTGGTTGTCGAATCCTCGTGATTGCAAGTTTGAGTCTTCGCAGATGACCTGCAATGGTACAAGTTATACAAGGTAAGTGTAACATTCAATTATCTACCATCACCGTTAGGGTTATTTTTCTTGTGTGTGTGTGACTTTGTGTGCGTATAATAGTAAACCTCGAGCAGTCGTGAGTGGATCTGGGCATGTTAGTAGGTTGCAACAAATGCTTAGAATTTGGCGATCTGGTGTACTACAGCGGGAGTTCCAGTTTTAATACCTCATAGTCTAGACATGCTTTGGCCAAGATTTTTGTGCCCTAGATATCTCTTGTACTCATGGAAAAAGTGAAATACATTTGGGCCCACTACTAGCTTGTTCTAGAAATACAAAGGCATTTGTGCTTAAGTCTTCGACAGAGAATAACTCTAAAATAAATCATCTAGAATGGAAAAGTGATATCGATGATTGACAAAATTAGATACTAACCATGTAAATCAGTATCTTGTTTACTTAATCAATGAATAAATTCCATAAATATGCTGCATTGGCATATATAATTTACTTGAAGACCAACTTTGTATGATCAAAGAGAAAATACTGCGTACTTAAGTTTATTAGTAATATGGAAGGAGAAATCTGAAGTAGTGTAAATCTTGAAGATATGAGTGTAATTTGACAGACCAAGTACCATTGAAGAGTGCTGACCACATACCTTTGGCTTGAACACCTAGTTTGTGCACAATGCGATCTTCAGTCATCGTCTTCAGTTCTTGAAAGACGATTTGTGCCTTGGTGCCTTCTGGAAAAGCTCGTCTGAATTTTTCCTTGTACTCGTCAGTGTCTAGGCTAATCATCGTCAGCCAGGTTTCCACGTTATCCTACAATATCAATGGTATTACATTTAACCAATTCATCCGAAATATATTAAAATACCATTATAAAACTATCTACTACCTCAAAGAAATCATAGCAGATTATGCTATTTTGTCATTCTGCTACTCTAAAGTAGTATACTTTAATCTCCTTAATCATGCGAACCATACTCTATTTTGTGTAGAAAATTGCATATAAAAGCACATCACGTTCCATTTCACCTAATTATCTCTCCGCCATATGTATGTCTATTGGCAGAAGCACTTTTCGAGCTGTGTTAAGATGAACCAACATTATTCATGATGATTACATTCAATATTATCGTATTTTAAAAATTTATTACATAACAGTATGGTTCATGTCTTTAATCTTTTACTGATATTGATAGTTGTTTAATGCAGTTATTGCTTTCAATGTAAAAACACAGATTTCTGTGATATATTTCTGATGTAAATCAGCATTATACTTCAGACTCAAACATGTACGTCTCTATTTGCTAAAAAGGCATATTCTTAAAGAATAATAAGGTTACCGGCACTCTGATGTCGATGTCTGGCTCATCCTGATGGAGCTTCCTAATGTGACGCCGAAAGTCGTTTCTGTCGTGCAGATCGGCCACTCCAATGTCTTTGAGGTCCTACAAGAGTAATTTTGAAATGATCAACTTTTGTCATTACGTAATTCTACGGACTGCATGTTGTACGTCGCTAAATGAGATACTGGGTATTGTCTAAGACTACTGTAAATGCCATCATGAAAGTTCATCTGTGTTGGTAATTACATGTTTAAAGTTAAAACTTTTGGTCCAACACAAAAACTTCTCTCACCTAGAGCTTTCGACCAGTCACTCTGGTCTTCCTCAGTAGACTGACCCAGTGAAGCTTGTCACGTGGCTTCTTTGAAGTGTGACGTCAACACTGGGTCAAAGGTATCTGGTAGACGATGATCAGGGCCCATACCAGATACCTTTGACCCAGTCACACTTCAAAGAAGCCACGTGACAAGTTTCACTGGGAGTGTCTACTGAGGAAGACCAGAGTGACTGGTCGAAAGCTCTAGGAGAGAGAATTTTTTGTGTTGGACCAAAAGTTTTAACTTTAAACACGACTGTAAATGAGTAAGACAAGGTCTGTCTTGTTGAAATTAATTTGCTATTTCTTCGAAGAAGGCAAGACGCATATGTGAAAAAACTTAAGACTAAAGCGTCTAACAAACGAGAAGACGATCAGAATGTTCTGACCTCATCAGACATCCCAGCGATGAAGCTTGTATCTGTGTACCCCTCTCGGGTAAAGATCGGCTCGTAGATCTCAACCTTCAAGAACAGAACACTTTTCAAACTTTTTGAAAATCTTTTATCTTTTATGACCATTTATTGTTATGATCACTTATTATGATCAGTTATTATTATGATCAGATATGAGTCGTATTACTATTGTTATTATTTCATCATTATGATTAGTATTATGTAAGGGATGGTTCACTACATTGTATGTTTATTGATTTTGATATATGAATTAAAATAAAATAAAATAAAATAAAATAAAATAAAATAAAATAAAATAAAATAAAATAAAATAAAATAAAATAAAATAAAATAAAATAAAATAAAATAAAATAAAATAAAACAAGAAGCCAAAGGTGACAATTCTCCGTGAAGTATTATATATTGCAACAAAAAGAAGTAGCCATTGGCGACAATTCTCTGTGAAGTGTGATATATCGAACAAAGAAAAATTGTTTAAACGCGCGTCGGCTCAGTCATCTTAAGACGCAACAACCAATCAGAGATGCGAAATGCCGACACGTGACGCGGGATTTGCATACAGTCTAAACAACGGGGAAGGGCGCGCGATGCCCGAAATATTTTTGCGTCAATATTCAGCGCCGTGTTTTAAGAGATTAATACCGGGAAACAAATTCTTTTCTTGTTTTGAACGCATAAACATGCATTTACGCTAATCTAGTATGATTCAGGGTTACTTTTTTTTACCTGCCATGGCCAGATTATCTAAAGATGTGTGTATTGTGTGTACAATCTACAGAAAGAGAAATGTACATCAGGTCCGATCATCCGATTTTCACGTTTCGGTTTTTTGGACTCGGTTCATGAACGTATTTTGGTTTGGCTCCTGGAATGTGCGAAAAAAATGACTCCCGGGACTGTCTACAGGGAACACTCGCACATTCGCGGTGTATCAGGACAGCGCGACTGGTCGGCATTAGCGCAGTCCCTGTAATTAGTAACAGTTGCACATCAGTCCGGCCGAAAGCATGATTGTGTAACACAGGCTACTTCTTCATATACCCTACTAGTACTGTATGTGCGGTTTACCAGCCCCAGACCACATCCGACCACGAGGCAGAACACATTGATGGGTTGCTCAAAAATATTGTCCATGTTTACAAAGAGCTGCTCCACTAACACTATGGAGCGACCCAACCCAAAAATATTGGCCATGTGTCGTTGCTAGGACGACCGGCCAGTTGCTACGTGACTAATATACACGCCGCCACTAGGTCGCCACACCCGACCAGTTTGAAATCGATAGGATTACGTCATCGGTATTAACATTAAATTTTTCCTAATGTTGACCTCTGACCACCCCACATATCCGACCCCATCAGCCCCGCCCCGACTTACTACCGGTGACATAAACGGACGACAACATTTCAACGGCATGGGGATGTTTCGAAAATAACCATTTACTCCAATATCAAAACAGCTACGGTAAAAATAAAACGACGTGCATCATCCCGGACATAATGCAACACCACATGCGAAATTACACAGAAATGCGACGTACGGAAGAATGCGTTTTGGCTGCGAACATCTTCCAAAAAACTTGGCATCTCTTAACCATGGGCAAAAACATCTGGAACCACTTATAAAAACCACCCCGTATCTGCATGAACTTTTACCCCCCCCCCACTGCTATTCCAAACAACGCGTTTTTCTGGACCATTCCAATTCGCCTCGTAACTGTAGGGGTGCGTCTGCGATATTACATTGACCGCGAAAGCAGCAACGGCAAAAATACACATTCGCGCATCAACACGGGCATGCCCGCAGACGGCGTATAAAATTGCGTGCCGTTTACACAAAGAGAACCCAGTGTTTTGACTGCGAACATGAAAAATCAGCCGATTACAACACTCCGTCCGGAGGTCCTGACCTCCTTCACGGAGTAATAAAATAAAAATCTTTTATCGAACGCTAATTATGCCAACAAATAGAAGAGAAATCTCAGCTTGAAATGTAGAATAGATGTAAGAAATTACGATGAAGGTTCGATGTAAACCAGTCACCATACCTTATTAGACAGTGCGCCGAATATACTTTGCAGCCACTGCCTTGTTGACTTGAACCTCTTTCCGGGATCAGGTTGAGCTAAAACAACGATTGTTTGTAACCTTAGTTTGAACGGAACTTGTTATATGTAAGAAATGACATTACCCACGTACCGCGACTAAACATTTCTATTAAGTTGGTCAATCCAAATATACTCTAAATTCATTAGCACTCAACCAATGTGGTTTTCTCTCTCAAGTTTTTTCAGCTACCTCAGGATGTAATGAACTATGTCCAGTTGTGTGGAGATATTGATATAGTCTTGATGTCCTGGTTTTCTATTCTCTGGGTTTAGCTTTAGACGCAAAGAGGATCTCGTAAATGCGAGGGTCACAACCCGCCGTACGTGTTTATGTCCGCACGTTTCTATGGGAGGCCACGTCCGCCACATTTTTCTGAAAATGTGGGGAAGGACTGGCAAGAGTAGCACGTGGCTCACGGTTGCGCAAGGTATGTAAGTACGTGATCTGCACGCCACGTCTGGCCGTGAGCAGTTGCCGCAGTGCATCGTTTGTTGCGTAAGTGGTGAGTTGCACGAGCTTACAGCGTACGATTTTTGTGCGGTTGCCACGTTACCGAATGCAGTACAGTCTTACGTACTCGTGTTGTTTACGCACAGATTCCTTACTCAAATGTTGTAAGTGCGTGCAAGCTGGCTGTACTGGACACGCGCGTCGCCCGTACTGGCTCGTACGCGTGAATCTGCAGCCTAAACGCAGAGAAAGGTTTACATGCACTTGAACCGCTACAGCGTGTCTGCGTGCTTCCAAATCCACAGGATTCCGTACGGAGGTGGTATACGTACTCGCCACTACTTACGGATCCCATGAATTTGCACGTAAACAGCACGCAGGTGCACGAACGGCAGACTGTAACCCTCCCTTTCAGAAAAACATGGCGGACGTGGCCTCTCAAAAAAGTGCACGGACAAAAAACACGTACGGCGGGCTGTGACCTCGCTTTTAACTTACCCTCCCCAGGTATGCTGCGCATATGGCCCCTGGACCCGGAAGACACAGAGTCGCCAACATCAATCCTGCCATCTACCTCATCCTCCATAGCTTCTCTCTCAGGCTCTTCCTCGATGCTTTCGTCTAATTTGTGATAGCTTCGTCTGCAGAAACTGAGGTGAAAAGGAAAGGAAGAAGGTAGCTATATGCAAAAAGGCTATTGTCATGTGGCGACGATTGAATTTTTGAAATTGAAATATGTGCAGTATCGCAGTTTCGTAGCATATCTCACCTCCAACATTGACGCATCTTGGCCACGACGTCATCGAGGAAGCTTTCTTTGCTCTGTTCTTTCTGAGATTTCGCCTCCCTCGTACCTTCAAGGAAATGACACAGGGTACTTATTATTCTCCCCAATTATGGCAAGAACAACCCGAAGGGAATAGTAAACCTTGTCACGACTTTCCAAAAGTAGTACCATGATATACTGCAGAGATCATAAAGCCAGTCCAGTGTTCCAAATCGCATCTGCATATGCAGGTTTATATAGTGTGGAAAAATCGGAGCTGTTAATCTATTTCTGATTTACTCTGCAATTCTACCAGGACCTATCCTGTAGAGGTCCGTGTACCGAGTTTATATGTGCAATATAGCCATGTATTCTTATTCTAATATGTGTATGTGGATAATTACTTGTTGCATTGACTAAATATTTTACTGAGCTTAGAAATATAAACGAATTAATTTTGTCTAGGTTGTGAGCAGTTTTTGTAAACCATATATCTACATGAGTGGTGCGAGCCCTGCGCCATCATTTCGTAGAGAAACCAGTTATTATCAGAAGTTATTATAAGAACAACACCTACATAAATAGGGCTGTAACTTACCCCATGACTGATCTGTCAAGTTACACACGCTGTAGACGTTCATGAGAATGTAGACACACGGCAGGGTGAACAGGTACACCACACCGTGGAATATGCACGTGAACTCACGTGGGTGAAGAAGGGCTGCTACAATGTGTATCCCCGCAACTATGGCGATGTACAGGGTAGTCACGTCTACTTGCAGCTGGACTCCAAACACTGCAAAATGTAAACAGTTAACTCCGCTCGAGGCTGGATCGGAGATCTCCAAGTGACTTCACCATGAACTTGACCAGAAATATTGATTTTTTTAACCATTATTTATTCATGAAAAGCTCAAATAGGCATGCACGTGGCTTTTCATTGAGGTCATGGGGCAAGATATAAGGGTCAAACAAAATATGCCAAAAAAAAGTTTATACCAACTTTATGAAAAGTCCTCTTAAATCTTTTACACATACATGCTACAAAGAACATGGCACATAAGAGTGAGAATATCGTTCGTGTCCATTCCTTTTGATCCACAAAACGTCATCACATTTCACTTCTGAAAGAAGTTATGGAAAGGTTCTTTACCGTTATTGAAAATTCAATGAATACCATGAGCAAATAGCAAAAAGTTTGCTTTGATTTATATTTATTTTCCCGTTGTATGTTTGAATAGCGTAAATCTACTCACGTCTGTTGATCTCGTAAACTGACATTTGGTTCGGCCTGCCCCCACAGGTTTCCCCGCTGTCACCCGGACACGGCGATGCGCACATGTTCTCCTGCAGTCTGGTCGCGTTCTCCAACGCCTGCTGAGGTCCGCAAAAACAGGCGGTTCCGGGGGACCCTGTACCTAAAGTAGTGCGTTTTCTGGTATCAAAGAGGTCTGTGGCAATTTTTCACCCACTCTGAAGCACGAGAAAACCGGTCAAATCGGGTCGTATGATTAGCTATATGATTAAAACCCTCCGGGCATTTTTCGAAACATTTCGTTCCTGGACACCCCCCCTCGGAGACCCTAGAAAACCAAACATTTTAAGGCTGAAGATTACCGAAATTGCAATAACTACCCTGATAATACCGATAAATATATTGGCGTAACTTTTATATTTAGATATAGCAAGGTGTAATATGTTATTATTTTAGTAGTTATGAAATACTAGTATTTAAAGGGGGTGTGTTATGGGGCTATCAGAACCAAAGACACAGAATTTTTATTTCTCTACATTTTAGTCAATTTTTTTAGTCATTATCTCAAATGTCGATTTCGCCGACACCCACCTTCCGACCTCTGCCTGGTTTTGCCTATTTTTCTCATGCAATGCCTCAAAAGTTAACACTGGGCAACATTAACAGACTATAGCTTGATTAGGTTGCACACTCTTCTACATAGCTGGTTCTAAACCATTTTGAAGAATAGTGTACAACGATGCTGAGGCTTGATATGGAATGTCCCACTGCATGTAAAGTAATTCAAATTTCACTGCATACATTTTGGTCATTGCCACTGTAAATCAACAGAGGATGAATTTTGCAGAGGAGTCATTTTGTGAACTAAGAATCATCCTAAGACATACCTGAGTAGTAGAAGTTGTTTTCATGACAGTGGCTCATACATTTGGCGTTAGTCAGGTCCTTTATCCGCGTGACAGCATTTGGCAGCAGCAAATCTCCTGAGTAGCTATATTCCTGATAGCAACCCTGGTATTTCCCGTTATCATTAGCTGCAAGGACACGAAATAAAGATTATCGTATCTAAAAAATAGAAATTAGTTCCCAGGGCATTATTTGCCTTGACAGGTTCACCTTAATTCGTAAAACAGTATGCTCGTGATATATACAACACACACTTTCCTTATCTATTCGCCAACAGATTACACGCAGCAATGTAATCTTCCAACACCAACGTACTGAAAACATTTGATTGCAGTTCATACTATCAATATGGCCACTTTGAAGCGCCGCTGTATTAACGTAATTAGTTGCCCGCTAGGAGGCCCATCATCGAACATCACCTTTGTTGTTGCTGCCCTTACCCATCATGCTGTACACAACCCAAAACACACACAAAAAAACACAACCCTCTTCAGCAACGCAGGAACATTACAGGATAAATATTTTCGAACTTAAGCTACCAAGTACCATTAGGATTCACAACGTCTCGAGTTATGCTGAACATAAACAATTAAAGAATACACAAAGAGCTTTCTGCACTACCTTTTTTAAAAAGCCAGGTGGGCCATTTTCAAACTTAACCTACGTTTCCACAATAGCTACCAACATGGAAATAATCCATTCATAAGTTGTCAAGTTATGACATTATCCTACATACAGACCCACACCAAACTCCACCAACCCCAGAGCGAAAAAATTCCCTTCTGACGAAGGCAATGGGTTATGTCACTAGAGATAATTTTGTTTGGGTATTAACACGTACCTATGCGTGGCGCACTGGATGTGTTGGAGATGGCCATTTGACTCGCCGTCCCCACAACTGCAATAGCCATGGCTATCAGGAAGACAAAACACAATATCTTCGCGACCTGAAAAGAATGAAATATAATAATGAATGAAATATATAATGCAATAAAAAGCTTTCCTGAGATAGAGCTGGTAAGAAAAAGCAACTATGTTTATAAATAAATATACAGTAGGTCATTCTTATAAATTGATTTTTGTTAAAAGTTTTGACAACAGTTAAAATGTCACACACATGTTCATAGGTCCTCCTTAGCAGATTAAACATCAGGACTAAAGCATTACCTGTAGTGGGTTGCAAGGTTTTGGTTGAATTTGTCTGTGTTGGTTTGAAACATGCTATCAACACTGGTGAAATTTAGCCTAGTAGAAATACAAATGCCCGCGCATTTAGGGTTAGGGAAATCAACCCTCTCGGGCGGACTGGGCAATTATTTCCTTTTTTGCCGAATTCGTCCAACCGTACCCCCGAGAAGGCCTGGTGGAAGCTCCTGCGGGGAGATCTGAACCTTGTTTTCAGACATGTTCCATGTTCCAATGCATCAAAAACAAAGCTAATACATAACATTTGTCCAGCAAAAGGAGGTAGCGCCTTAAAAGTTAAATTTTCGACTCTTACTGCTAACTTTCTAGGAATTCAAGTTACCAGTCATTAAGGTCACGTGGCATAACATCAGCAATTGGTCAAAACAGCACGTCAGCAGAACGTACTGCGCATGCGTAAAATCCTGTGCGTCACGTGTATTGCACATCTACAATGCGTATCATTCGCGTATTTCATTAGTATCTACATTTTGTGTCAAAAAATATGTGTAATGCAACGGACACTATTCTGACATTAAGCAAACATCCAAGAGAAACCTTTATAAATTTCGGACTTCGCACTGGCGCAGTATGTTCTACAAGATGGACCATGGCGTTTCTACTGCCTTCCATTTCTGTTTAGTAGAGTCTGAGAAGACTGAAGCATTGGAAAATGGAGTATCCTGTACAAACGTTTTAGATACTAATAACTATCTTCTTTGCCTAAAATGTACCTTGAGCTGAGTTTCCTGTGAGTAATACATGCAGATCAGGGCAAAGGCCAGGGTGAGAAGAACGAAGAGCACGAAAGACAACCAGGTAGGAACGCCAACTCCGTAGTAAAGCCCACCTGTCAAAACATTAAGATAAAAAATAAACAAAGCCCCCCTTCCCCCAAAAAAGTTAAACGTATCACATAGAGCTTTGTTACCTGTCAAAACATTTACGATAAGAAATAAACAAAGCCCCCTTCCCCCCAAAAAAGTTAAATGCATCACATAAAGCTATGCCACGTATCTTTGTATTGATCTAATCACATACCCCCAGACCGATAAAGAGTTTCTACCCAGCACACTATGTCATGACCAATGTTACATTAATAGGATGTAAACCTTCTCTTAGTAACTCACCGGTTACGATGAGAATACACGTGGAAGGACTGATAACTGTCGACAAGAGCAGGACGATTTGGAATAGAAGGAAGATCATGGAGATGTATTTGTTGTTCTGGTTGATGGTCTTCCAGTTTTTAAGGAGAAGGATTTGATTGGCCAAAGTTGAAGGTATCCAGCGCCTTCTCTGCTTCCAGAACTCATCAAACTCCTCCGGACAGTGGGTGGAGTCACAGGCACCCGCGCAGTATTTTACCCTCCAGCCTGTCTTAACCTGGAATATGTAATACTTATGTATTTTTCTATCTATCTATCTATCTATCTATCTATCTATCTATCTATCTAATATCTATCTATCTATCTATCTATCTATCTATCTATCTATCTATCTATCTATCTATCTATCTATCTATCTATCTATCTATCTATTTCTATCTATCCGTGTATATTTATAATAAAGTATCTATCTGTATTGCTTGTGTATTTTAGTTTTCTAGTAGTATTCTATAGTATTCTCGGGGGGCCCCCCGCACCCGCTGGACGGACGTCCTGGCCAAGGACCTGGCCCTGGCCAACATCACCCCCGAAGTAGCGCAGGGGCTCGCCCAGGACAGGCCGAGATGGAGGGAGGTGGTCCGCCTAGTAGGCTCGACGCACATCGTGCAAGAGGACTGAGTGAGTGAGTGAGTGAGTGAGTGAGTGAGTGAGTGAGTGAGTGAGTGAGTGAGTGAGTGAGTGAGTGAGTGAGTGAGTGAGTGAGTGAGTAGTATTCTACCTGCAGAAACCCAAATCGTAGTCTCTGTTCGCATCGGGATCTTTGTCTGCAGTAAAGAGGAGGTCTTTATATCTGTGTGTGTATGAGTGTGTGTATGTATATGTATGAATGTATGTGTATGTGTTTGTGTGTGTTTGTATGTATGTATGTGTGTACACCAAGCACAGTTGGGGCATCATCACTAGAAAGCTTAAAATAACTCCTGCAATTAAATGTCAAAGATTGGATGTAACAAGTCGTTCGGTGTGATATAGCTAGCTGCTGCCGCGCCGAGTGCCTGCGAAGCTGGTGTGTTACGCCGAATGGCGGTTGTACCGGCTATACCGATATAGATACAGATACAGAAACGCATGAACTACGTGACTCACGAGTAGAGTGGTGAACCATCTGTCTTCCCCCATGTCCTTAGTCAGGAATTCAGAGGCTTCCTCCACGTCAGACCGGTACTCCTCCAGCACGCTGGCGATGGCTTTCACCCGGTAGACACTGAAGCAGCCAGGAGCACACAGGACTGATCCTAGCACGTGGTTTGTGACCTGAGCCGAGGGACAACCAAAAATGCTTACACTATACTTAGTACATACGTCAGCTCTACTTACTGTTATAGCTGAAGTTTTGATCTACTAAGCAAGATCATTTTTTTACTGATAATTACCTCCATGAAAAATGGAGGTATTGTTTTTGGCGCGTCTGTGTGTGTGTGTGTGTGTGTGTGTGTGTGTGTGTGTGTGTGTCGTCCGTGTGTGTGTGTGTGTCCGCACATTTGTAGTCAGCATAACTTCAGAACGCATTTATGGATTGTGATGATATTTGGTATGCTGGTAGGTCTTAGGAAGCCAAAGGTGAAGGTCAAATATGGGCCTTCTGGTGGCTGATCTTGGTACTGCAGCAGAACTTCCGGGAAAACAGATGTGCAGGGTGGCAGGGGAAACAGATGTGCGGGGTGGAGGCAGCGCCTACCCGGTTCGATTAATGAGGTTCTCCCTCGGGAAAAGCATATATGACCAAATCCAGGCCAAAGGTGCTACTGTGTGTTTGAAATAAAAAAATGTGTTATTTTGTTCTGTACTGCAGTGTACTGTGTAAAGACATTTAGAAAAACTCATATATTTCATGGAGGGATGAGATCTCCGAATTTTTGTTCCTTAGTGCATTTTAAACATTTTAATAATTTCAGCACACCGATACATCACATAGTGTTCCCGAATTCCCTTTTTCATCAACACTAACGAAGACTGGAAGAGCGCTGGATCAGGAGGCATTGTATTTAATCATTAGACGAAAATGTTTAAAAAGGCACGATCAGAAAACATCTCACTTTCTGAAGCCAGTGTCCTATTGCGTAGTCAAACATCTGGTACCAGACGAAAGGTCCGGATCCTTCTGGATGGGTCCGTGCACAGACCGCGCCTACTTCCTCCTGCCTGTCGCTTAGCATCTGCATCAACATGGCTACAATAGAGTCGGCATCAAAGTCCACGTCTCCGTCGGTAGCCAAGATGTACTTGACCTCTGAGTCATCGACTAGAAAGGTAGAATAATACGTGTTGCGGAGTTGATGTTGGACATTCGACGTGTGTGTGTGTGTGTGTGTGTGTGTGTGTGTGTGTGTGTGTGTGTGTGTGTGTATGTGGATTTTACACGAGGAAGCAAAATAAAACAATGGTTGTTGTGTGTGTAACCTTTCAAACTTTAAAATCGGGACAATTCTTGCATACAACGGTAGGAGTCACGATAAATAGAAAAAATGGAGATTTCGAAGTTTTTATATAACTATTCGGTGAAACAGGTGTGTTTGAAAACCTAATGGCATGTTTATAATAGCAAACTTCGATATGAGCATGCTGGTGTCCAGGACTCCCAGATCTCTTGAGTAAGGTTTGATTGTAAAATTTGAAGCATCGTTGTCAAATGACCACCAATTCTTAGTCATACCAAGAATTTGAACAGTTGCAGAATCTGTAAACCTTTAATTGAAAATTGTAAACCTTTAATTGCACTATAAGGATGACAAAAATAGCTTACAGCGATCCACGGCTGACTCCATATACATGACTTGGCTCCATCGTTTCTTGCTCTTTACTTCCTGGTTGTCTTTCAGGTGGATGTACAGAGGCAACTGGAGGGACCCAGGAAGTCTCCACTGTAGTGTCCATCCGTACCACGTCTTCTTTATCTCTACGGTGCATTCTGCGAAAGAAAGAAGACTATGTGTATTATTTAGATTCAGAAATAGATAATAAAGACGTGGACATGATAGCTTAAACTAAATAATATTCTATTACATTAGATGTGGGAACCATTTAATCAAAAGGACATAATATTGTATGGAAGTTCACCTTTTTTTTGGTAGTAACCTTCAACACAATGCTTAATTTTTTTCAGTACAAAGGCAATACCAGGATAAAATTGTCAACTTTTACGTGTTTTATGGAAGTGATTGGTCGCCATGTTCCCTGATGTTGGTCATTGCAATTTAGATTTATGTATGCAATTTGAGTTGGAATAAAATTTAACAACGGGTTTCCTAACATAGCACAAGCCGAAAGTATAGAAAAGCTAACCTTTGTATCTACTCTGAACAAGGCAAACAAGCTGAGCAGAAAAATCGGTCAGTTTGTTCCCTCTCACACCGTTGTCAAAGTACACGTGTGCTTCAAACTTCCCAGTCCAGCTGTACTCTTCCCCCAGCTTTTGTGATGTGGCCACCTTTTCGATGGACTCCAAGTACTGCGACATTTCATCCCATGTCTGTCACGAGAAAGGATCGATTTCATGATATGACAAAATAGTCCCTGTTTCTTTGCCTGCGTTAGAAGGGTATGTCTTCGGTTTGGGCTTGATAGATCAGTTATGTGTGGGTGTGCATCTAGGTCAACGTCATAAATCGAGAACATAGAAATGAATCTTTTTGATATTTGGCATGCGGGTAGCTATCGTAGAAATGTAAGTCAAGTTAAAGAAAATGGTCCTCCTGACTTTTTCCAACCGTATTGCAGAAGGTTTTTTGTGCATTTGTTGAATGTACGTGTTCAGCATATCTCAAGAAGCTGTGAAGTGATCTTAATATTATCTGGTAGGTGAGTAGTAGTTATGGAAACGAACTTTTAAGTTCGAAAATAGTTTCCACGTTGCTGAAGAAGGAATTGTTTTTTGTTTGCTTTTGTTTGCTTTTATTTGTGTAAAATATAACTCTGGATGGGTAGAACAGCAGAAACGAAGGTCAAGTTCGATAATTGTCGGGTACTGCAGCGGCGAAGCGGTCAAATGTTTCGCAGGTTAATGATTTTTTTGCGATGTGGAAAGCCATTGGGGCTGGGAATAAGCGGTGTAAGTTTGGGTCCCATAGCAGGTTGTTCTGAAACTACACATTTTTGAAAGAGGATAACTCAACAACATGTCTCGTTTCTGTATGTGTGGTTGCACATTTGTGTTTGTGTGTATATGTATTTGTATATGTATGTGTTTGTGAGCGTATGTGCGCGTTTGTGTTTGTGTGTGCACGTGTGTATGTGTGTATGTCTTTGTGTGTGTATGTGTGTACTAAAATGTATCCCCTAAGACGCCTCCAAAAAAGATAAGATGATATTGTAATCAGAGTTCTCATGCCTTCGTCGAATGATACCAACCTTTACGACATATTATACATGTTCCATATTGATTGTGAAAATAATATCCTCGCTTATACTTATATGCTTTGATTATATTCTCTACCCAATGACAGTCTCACCTTAAACAAAAAGAGCTATGCTAGCATTTCCTCATAAGTTATACAAATACGTTTCTAATTTGAATACGTTATGTTTGATGATGATGGCCTTCACTTAACTTCCAAATGCTACAAATATAAAATGCCTGTCATTCAACAATATTGCATTATTGCATTTCTCATTATTAATACAGGGTACGTCTTCATTGACTAAAAAAAATTGGTGACCCTAGTATGTTTACATCATGAGATATCGAATCCGCTTGATTGTCTAGAGGGGATCCACAGATTGTGTAGAGGGGAACTATTAACCTAGGTCCACACCTGGTTACAAAAGATCTCACTGAGCCAGCAGTAGGGGTGTAAGGGGGTGAGGTAGCCCAGCTGAAGGTATATAAAAGCAGGAAGATAAAAGGCATATGCATCAACTGCACTTTCAAAAGTTTGTTTGTTTGTTTGTTTACACAAATAGGCCCATTGCACTTCCCCACGAGCCTCAAGAGAGTCTGAACTTACACCACGTTAGCTATGCCCCAAAACCTATTCACCATACAAAACTTCCAAACAATTGCTTTTCCAGAACTTGAACTGCTGATAAACAAACCAACAAACACAAAATGTGCCCTGCAATTACGTATAAACCCCCCATGAGGTCCACTCTCGAACTTAACCTTGGTCGTTACAACGATAACTTGGCTGCTAAAAATCGTGGACAGCCATTTACATATAGTTGAGTTATCTTGATCACAAACATCTCGATTAAGGCAATTTACACACAGACCTCTCTGTACATGGTGGTGCAGATCATCACAAGGCCATGTAGGTCTGTAGCACCAGGCGATTGTCTTGTTGGATGTTCAGGGGCCTTGGTCCTATTGAGCAGCATGTGTTGACCAGTGAACAGTCCGGTGTAGTGACGAAACCAAAACAACTAGAGATTGAAATAGTACCGAGTATCGGTTATGTTAAAATTTTGATAGCTTGTACAATTTTCAGATTACACAGGAAATGCAACATAAATGTAACAAAATGACAATTGAGGCATAAAAGTATATAAACTATAACTAAACATAAATAAACTATCTTTATCATTTCCCTGCAGCTAACCCCGTACCCAAAGTACATTATGTGCCAATGGGCTACTTCAGCAGAAAAAAAAGCTAAAAAAAAAGCATATACAAGCATAAAGCATGTTAAAACTTTTATAAGTATAAAGCATATACAGCAGTATATTGTAGAAGATGGTGACTAAAGCTACATGCTACATTTAAGTAAACAACTTGAATGTACAATGTACTTACGTTTGATTCATTCTCATAGATTTTGGGTGCCGTCAGGACGTAATTGTACACACTGCAGCATATTTGCCCCAGTAATACCAGGCCGAGTCTGAGATACACATGTGAATCGCTACGCACATGCACCCTGCTGCAAATGTTCTCAAACCACAGACAATAGTCTGGCCGATCCATGATGATAAATGTTATGAAGGGGGCGACAGACAGAGGAAAGAGAAAAGAGTAGGCCTGGATGCACATGGCACACGCGATAACACCAAGAACGTACCCACCAAAAGCAGGGAGTACGGAAAGCATCACTTCGGTCTGCCTTAGGTATAGCGAGTTGAAGCCGTTGTTCACATTATAGCCATGTGGAGGTACCACAAATAACGCTATGACTAGGATGACCATGTTGAGGAAGTTCTTGACAATCGTGGCCCTCACATCTGCAGTTTTAGTGTCTTCTTGAGCGGCACTGCTGGTGTCTTGTCGTTGATATGACTCATCCCTCTCAGAGACCTCTTGACTACCATGATGATGTTGTTGCCTAAAAGAAGATGACTTTACTTTCATCTGACGTTCCTGAATCAGTGGGCACCAGGCTATAGTCAGAAGCACGACCGATGTGGGTATGACCCAGATTGAATAACCAAAAGATGACTCTTTTTTCGGATTTTGATAATAATCAAGCCACTGCCAAACCACACCCCCTGTGATACATAAAATGCCAAGAACATTCAGGACAAGCCACCAGTGCTTAGTATGCCGTGGTATGAAATGACCAACAAGCACAGTGTTCATCAGAACAATGGCGGTCGAGATGTCCACGCTATCATCAGGGAGAACGTAGAAGGTAAACAGCCACAGTCCGGACACCTCGCACACACTTACAAAGGCGGTCTGTGGAAAACGTCAATAAACCAATCAACATTATTGAGTTATAGATTTGCTGGCGTAACATTTGGTTAGCACAATCACAGAGTCTAAAGTGCATACCCTTCACGCTTACCCTTTATCTGGTGTTTGATAGCCCCTGATCATAAAGTCCATCTTGTTTTAGCCCCGCGGTGAGCACACACTTTGAGCGCACAAAGAGTCTAAACACCCCCCTGCTACTAGAAAGATATCAAAGATTTGTGCAAGGAAAATGTAAAGCAACTTTTGTTTCATTCAAGTAAGAAAGAGAGGTTGCTGAAGAATTAATTTCAGTTGCTTTGGTTATTATCCAACAATGGAGAGGACGTATCAATGTTCAATTATGTTTGTTTTAAAACTTACACGGACGTTACATCTAAAACGAAGTGCGTACTAGATCAATATTTGCTGCACCCAAAACACAATCATGACTGCCCTTCAGCGGGCAACAGAACTCAACTGTTGATAGTGTCACTTATGATATAGATTCCATATATTTTTGTGAAACAGTGGTTTACCTAACAAATCCCAAAACATGGTATCCAGGCATTAACGGCCCTATGTCCTTAACATTGATGTATCTACCTTGAGTGTATCTTTTAACGACAAGAAGTTGAGGACATGAGACGATAAAAGCAACTGTATACATTCAGTTACTTACGAGAAACACTGATGTCCAGTGTGGTGATGGTTGACCACTGCTCAGACCTTCCTTGACCATCGCGCGTGTAAAGCCGAATGCTGACGGTACAAAAAGTACCAGCCATAGAGCCACGGTGCTAGCATCAGAGAGTGGAACTAGAGCACCAGAATAGTTGGTGACAAAAGTTCCGTTTGCAATCGTTGTGTTATCTTTTGCCAGCACGAGAGTAGAGATAGTACTGACCACTATACAGGCCAGTACGGCTAACATGATGAGTACAACCAACACCCATTTAAGAAGCAGTTCTCCACAAGAGTAAGTCTTATCGTTGTTACGATGTGCGGTCTGACCGTCACCGGCGCCTGGGCCGTCCGTCGTATCTTCAGCGGCAGCGTTCGATGCCATGATGGCGTGATCTCAACTGTGTCTGCGAACCTAACTACATTACCTCATAGCCTCTCTAGACTGATCCATACCCTTGTTGCCGGGGGGGGGGGGCATAGGATGAATACAGCTAGCAATAAATAGTTCGCTGCTTCTGTTTTGCAAATGTGGTCCAAACGTGAAAGAAAAAATATTCATATCTAAAAAAAGTTTGATGCAGAGCCAGAATGTGTAGACAACGGAAAATATAACAATAGAAAGTACACATTAGAAATGGACTATTCTTAAATTAAGAGTTTTGCTGTGATTACGTAATGGAAATTACTGCTAAGTGCTAAGAATAGAACAAAATTTCCCCAAAGCGAACTTTGAATCAGGGCGTGGACTTTAACTGTTTGATAACCAGCAGCATTGTCTATAAACTTTGAGTGAGAACCACTCGCTGAGTGGTGCTGAAGGGGTCATATACCACCCTGATACTTTACATAGTTTCCCGGCACACAATAAAGGCAGTTGTCATTGCAGGTAGATAGTTTAAGCAGAAAAAAATGAGTCCACTTTTAAAGAAATCGTCATTGCACGGCAAATCATACCAAGACCACGTGGCAAGACTTTTTGTAGATCAGGCTACGTACGGGTTTATGCCCCAAAGACGTAGGTACTGAGAACACTTTCTCGAACGGATCCAAATGTCTTAATGTGTACAATTAAAAATGATTTTTAAAAGGCTTTAAAAGGCTTTAAAATGCCTTAAAAGGCTTTCAGAAACACTAGTTGGTAGGAGGGTCGGTTTAATGCGACGAGTGAGAAACCTACTGCTGGTGTGTGATATGCTTGCCTCCAATGAAAACACTACCCTCATTGCTTATCAATGTTAACGTCACTTCTTATACGCAATAAGTACTCTATTTGATATAGTATCATATTTGGTACATCATATGCTTTGCCTTCAGAGGTTTTGATTTTCTCATATGGGGTAAGGGTTGACAGAGAAGCCTAGGCTGTCAAAATATTACGATCTTTGACGCAAATATCTGCTTGGAGGTTGTCTTGTTGCAGAAGACGGTGTAACAAACCAAAGTCATTTTGTTATTTAAGTAAGTAACATCGTTATCTTATCAGAATAAGTCGTCCTCTTCCAAAATTGTCTCCATCAAGATGTATACATACGCTGACTCGGTACATTCTTTCGGTGATTATATCAACTGACAAGGCTCCATCACCTCGGGGCGGACCATTACCCCTAAATCAATTCAACAAAATCAATTTATTAATTAGACCACATTGACTTAATCTTATGCATAGCCATATACACAGGATATATTGGACCTACCCTGGAGTATACAGCCCCTTCCTGGACCCCGCCCTCACTAAAGCCAAAGAACTTAGCCTTGCGCGGTTACAAAGGCGGGCTTGCCGCATTATCCTGGAAAACATCTACACAATATATGACCATGTACTACAACATCTCGGACTGTCACTACTAGCTAAGATAAGATAACTGTTGTGTACTAAGTTTGCTAGGACACTTATGAGGTCAGAATACAGACACCGACTGTCCCCACAGAAATAACTAGCAGGTATACAGGAGCATCGAGATGCTAGACTGTCCGAGAGCACGAACTAATAGATACAAGAAGCCCATATCGTTCATGTGCCAGCTGCTTGTAAAAATACTTATGGACTGAAACCTTATAGTTGTCTTGTAAGCGATATCCCTGGAATCTGCTGTATAAAAATTCAAACCAGTACTACGCGTTTTTAACATCAATCTTAACAAAGGAAGGTATTCTAATTTCTCCATGAATTATGCAAATGACGTCCTGATTGGAATATGTTATGATGCATGATATTCACTCTTACGAAACTTCCATATGCGGAATTAAACGTGGCTTTACAGTTATAACTATATAATACAGCCGCAGGCAGATAATAACACCGTATAGGGATGTTCAATAACTTTATTTTATCACTTGAAAATAAAAAAGCAATTCGCATAATCTGAGACCAAATAACTAATCATTAACCAAAAATCAAGGAAGTCTGAACTCACCGTGAGTTCTACATGTAGCTGTGAACACACAAACATGACCGAACACAGTGCCTTCTCCCAGAGGTAATGATTTATTTGACAAAAAGTCTGTAAAACCAGATAAGATTGTTGAAATATCTCTGTCATACATTAAGGTGACATTGTCCTGTGCTCAGCTATGGAAACCATCTGGGTTTATGGTAATGACTATCCCGTAACTATGCTCAGCTATAGGAACCGTCTAGATTTATGGTAATGACTCTGTCCTGTAACTGTGCTTAGCTATAGAAACCGCAGGGTTTATGGTAATGACTGTCATGTAGCTGTGCTCAGCTATAGGAACCGTCTAGATTTATGGTAATGACTCTGTCCTGTAGCTGTGCTCAGCTATAGGAACCGCAGGGTTTATGGTAATGACTGTCATGTAGCTGTGCTCAGCTATAGGAACCGTCTAGATTTATGGTAATGACTCTGTCCTGTAACTGTGCTCAGCTATAGGAACCGCAGGGTTTATGGTAATGACTGTCATGTAGCTGTGCTCAGCTATAGGAACTGCAGGGTTAATGGTAATGACTCTGTCCTGTAACTGTGCACAGCTATAGGAACCGTCTGGGTTTATGGAAATGACTACTGTAGCTGTGTACAGTTATAGGAACCGTCAGGGTTTATGGTAATAACTCTGTACTGTAGCTGTGCACAGTTATACGAACCTTCTGGGTTTATGGTAATGACTATCCTGTAGCTGTGCTCAGCTATAGGAACCGTCTGGGTTTATGGTAATGACTCTGTCCTGTAGCTGTGCCTAGCTATAGGAACCATCAGGGTTTATGGTAATAACGCTGTACTGTAGCTGTGCACAGCTATAGGAACCTTCAGGGTTTATGGTAATACCTGTCCTGTAACAGTGCTCAGCTATAGGAACCTTCCGGGGTTATTGTAATAACGCTGTACTGTAGCTGTGCATAGCTATATGAACCTTCAGGGTTTATGGTAATGATTCTGTCCTGTAGCTGTGCTCAGCTATAGGAACTGTCTGGGTTTATGGTAATGACTGTTCTGTAGCTGTGCTCAGCTATAGGGACCATCTGGGTTTATGGTAATGATTCTGTCCTGTAGCTGTACTTAGCTATTAGAACTGTCTGGGTTTATTTAATAACTATTTTCTGTAGTTTGATCAACTTTAGGGACCTTCTTTTGTGATGACGCCATCCCGTGCTTTAGCTATAAGAACCATCAGGGTTTATGGTAATGACCCTGTCCTGCAGACGAGCCTGCTCAGCAGCAAACACCAGCAGGTGGCTCTGCAGAGTCTCCTGTGGTCCGGTCAGCACGCAGGAACGGTCACCGGTCTGGAAGTAAATTAAAGACTAAGGCAATAAATTGTATCTGAAATTCTGGAAAATAGACTTGACTTAGAAGAAATTCAGAAAACACTTTTCTAGGGACGAAATCCCAAAATCCATTTCTATTAGCTCTCTGTGAATATAAATAAACCCCCAAGTACGAGGTATTCAACAACATGCACGGTGGTGGCATTTTCTGAAGGCAAAGTTGGAGAGGCTTTCTTTGCTTACTTAGCAAGTTAGGCCATGTTGATTTGATTATATTGATGACATACTCTGACACCCTACAATACTAGAATCTTCCTTTCATTATTTTCAAATTTTCGTCTTATACTTTAGCATTGAATTTCGCATTCTACGATACTATTGTATTGTTTTCCAATATTTTTTCTTGTGATTTAGGGCACATATTTTCACATTTTGCAGTTGCGGTATGGTTTTTAGGGTGGGAGGACGAAATTATTTGCGCACGCGGATGTTATCCATATAGTAATCAAATCAACATGGTTTTAGTAAAAGACCCTCGGATCTGTTTTCATTGTCTTTTAACATAGCAGATCTTTCTATTCCAACAGATTAGAAGAATTATGTACAAGTGATTTACGAATAGGCCTGGTTTCTGTAGATATGAACTTGAGTTTATCTATAGTCAGTGAAGACCAAAGGAGACATACGCATGGATCTTAATGTAAGAATGGCCGCCGATTGTAAGATTATAATCGTCACTCTACATTGTGACAGCAATGATTACACATGGTTGTATTGAATGCTTTTACTGAAGTTGCGCCTCAAGACCCCTGCTTCCCCCGAAGTTGAACTGGCGACCATTGTATCTCGCCTTGATAGTGGCCTGGTAGTTGTTTCCGTTATGCTATAGCGATATCCGATAACACCGGCATAAGGCAGATCGTAATCTGTAACCACCCACGGCCAAGAGGGTCAGTTGTGAAATGGATATCAAACAGTGTAACGATTTGTAAGATGAGTGGCAGGCGTGAAGAGAAGGGAAAGTGTAGCTCCTCATTCCGGACACGTCGATCCATTCCCATAGCTAAACTGTATTTGTCATGAACGCTGTATTAGTAGGGTTCCATCCCGTTGGGACTCAGTTCACCAAATGACGTGAACTCAATAGCAATAATCCGAAAGGTTATCTTATAATCCCCGTTAGTGAGGGTTAATTGATAAGAACGTGCTTTTCTCCTCGAAAACGACTATTTAATTCGGCAGAAAACCTTCAAAATCGACGTTTTGTACCCAAATTGGACTATTTTGACCAATCCGTTGTTGAATTTATTATGAGAATGAACACATTTGGGGAGGGAAGGAAACGAACATTTAAGGGGATAAAAGAAAGAAAACTGTGAGACTATAAGAGAAAGGCTATAGCAGAATCCGAAGCATGGGGAACCCTAGCTGCTCGGCAACCACCTGTTGATTCGGACTTAGAACTTTTCTCGAAGCTCAGGAAAGGAACGACTCAGGGTTTTCCCCTGTCAGTCCATGAAACCGGGAAGGGACTTTCCCATCCGAGACAGTCTACCAATCGTCTCCCGTGAGCTGTTGGCCTGAGTGACAAAGTTGACTAAACCATCAGAACGAACTTTGGGGCTCCTGGTCGTACCCTCGGTGTCATCACAGCGGATGACAGAGGAAGGGCATGCGCGGAGTATTGAAGGGGAAGAGTGTAGCAGTGGTGACCCGAGAAGAAGAAGAATCACAGCGGAACTCTGTCCCCCCGAGTCTGAAGCTTACATTAACATTGTTGCTTCGTAATTTGTACTGTTACGTGTACCCTCTGTTTATATTATTTATTGTCATTTGCTACGATTGATCATTTGATTAATCTGTTTTATTTTGTTTAATTTTATTGTATTCTATGTTGTCCAGTGTGTATGTTCTGTTGGGCTACCTTGGAAATCAGTCTTTCAGAGACTGAAGGTACCACCCAACTATTTTTAAGAGCAATAAATAAATAAATAAAACGTGTAACCTTACCTGAACAGCCTTGACAAAGGCATCCGTCAGGAAGTAGTCACCGCCATGCATTTCACGCATCTTGTTAGGGGGCGCTGCTGCACAGGGATGTTCCGTGGATGTCTGAGTCAGGAAGTCATACACATACACGGGACCGGGACTGGACCAGCGCAGCTCTCCCTGGTTAGATGGGATACAAACGTGATAATGAGTAGTGAATTCGACTATTCTTGAATTGTGTACTCACTTTTCGAAAGTTTAACCTTAATGAAAAAAGGAGGTTACAGCTCAGGCAGTGTTTGTATGAATTTTTTAGTCTCAATATCTTGTGTTTTCTTTCATACTATGGCCATAGTTTTGGGTTCGCACATAAATTTTCCAATTTGTGATTTCAAAGTGTCATAAGATTGAGACATCTAGCAGTTTGCTCTAAAATTGCAGGGGAGTTTATGCTTTTCCGGAAAAATAACTCGTAGTAGCATTGAAATTTGTTTATGAACAGTGGGATCTATATAGTGTCGCTTAAAAGATGTATAAACAGAAAGTTATACAGCTTATGGGGGACTACATTTTCATAACAAGAATTCCGAGACCTCATACCTACATGAAATATGGGCTTGATATGTCCGCATTAACATGATATATGCATCGTGATGTATGTTAATTTTTGATTAACTTACAGAATTCCCAACTATGGCATTCCTAATATTCACCATTAAGAAATCATAGAATTTTTGCATAAATTATGCAAATTAGGTCATCATTTGCATAATTAGTATCTGTTGATGTTCTGCCTGCCATAGGTTACATACATTACATGTATGAAATTAGTATGATGTAAAACACTGTAATCATAGAATTTCCTCATTAATTATGCAAATAAAGTCCCCATTTGCATAATTTGCATTTAATCATGTACATCTCTCTCTCAGCTACCTACACACCAAAAATTATGGAAATATGTTGTTCCTATCTGGACTTATTGACTTTTAAACATTTCGCCAGAAAGTGCCCTGCACTTCCAGAACAAGCTGGGGGACCAAACTCACACCACTTCTTCCTGACAGGAAAAGCTATCTGTCACCAAAACATCAAGACCATAGCATGTTCAGGATAAAAGATACAAAAACCGGAAGTTCTGCTGCAGTACCAAGGTCATCCACCAGGAGGCCCATATTTGACCTTGACGTTTGTCTTTCTAAGACTTACCTACATGCCAAATATCATCATAATCCATAAAGGCGTTCTGAAGTTATGCTGACCACAAAGTTGCGGAAACACACACAGACACACACACAGACATACATACATACATACATACAGACAGACACGCCAAAAACAATACCTCCATTTTTCATGGAGGTAAAAATGACGAAATTCCTCCAAAGCAGTTGTTTTACAATGTATCTTTTGGACATGCTATGATCTGGACTTCGGGCAAAGGCCAGTAATTCCAGCAGGCGCAGTGAGTCTACTTGTAGTCTATAACATATGGTAATGTAAATAAGTCATTTAGGGAAATCTTGTCATTTTTAAGCTGAATGTTTTCAGTGAAGGTTACAGTATTTTGTTCTAAAAACATTCCGCCATGTGTTTTCTGGTTTGCTAGGGAAGACTTTTAAGCGGTTATCAGCTGTCCAGAGTGGTCATGGGTCATTTGTGAATATTAATATTAATAAGGTTGATGTTAAGGTTTTCAAGGTATAAAACTCGGGTAGATGATTTGTAATCACCTTTTTCTGGAAATTAGAAAATTAAGAAATTAGATATTGTGGTCTTTTGCCTGTTAGGGTAACACCTTTAACCAAGGCCCTATTAAAGTCACTGAACTTTCTAAAACAGAAAACAAAACAAAACAAAAAAAATGGATGATTGAAGATACCATCTGACCGCCCCACCTTGGTGCCTGAGATCCTGGTCTGTCGCTCACAGACCTCCTGTGTGAAGCCCACCATGTCAAAGGAAACTGTCTGCCCTCCATCGAACTGGAAGTTTACGGACTACAAATAACAAAATAATGAGTTTTAATTTTTTTTTTATTTCTATGTACAGGTGCATTGTTTTGAATGTCACTGTTTATTCTTTTCCTGTGCGGCTGTTGCTATCCATGGAGGAATTTTGCAAACGCAGACCTGAAATGAGTCCCGAGTCCCGAGTCCCGTGGTAGAGAATTATAATTGACAGGGTATGGGGATTAGATGTAGTTGAATTATCATTTTTAATAACTTTGATTGCCTATTAACATGCAATGTCAAAAGGTTGAGAGAAAAGGCTTATAACTAGAAAGTTTGCTTTGGAGCAAATGTAGCAGATGGCTTCACCACATTTTACGACAATGGCAGGGAAAGAAGGAGAAGGACAAGGGAAAACAATTCTTTACATTGATATAACTAACTATAGTATGAAGTGACAACAGTTGGATTGCTATCCCCTACATTATCGGTTGGGATTTTTAATTGCATAATGCAAACTGTTGTTTATTAAGATTAAAAGAAGCGTTTATGCCCGTTTATCCCCTTATGCTGGAGCAGGAAAGCTTGACATACCTACCAAAACACTTTAATTTAGTTCATAATGTCAATATGGCGTGGCTTTGTACACGTGCTAATTGAGTTAACCCAATCAAATCCCAACAGCCAATCAGGAAGAAGAATAGAGGAAAGCTGCATGCCTATCGGTCGCTTGGTCTGCATGTCATTTTGATGACTTGCGCCCAAATATGTTAACACACAAACCTCCCGAGGGTATTCGCCCACTCTACCTTCATGCCAAATTTCATTGTTATTTGGCCCCAAAATGAAGGAGTTGAATCAATTTGAGGAAATGGTAGGAGAATGAGGGGAAGGAGGAGAGGAAGAAACATGAGAAAAAAACAATATGTCTTAACCACATGGTGGTGAAGCCATAATTATTTTTATCTTCTCGTGTCTTTGCAATTTCTGTATGGCTCATCTAATGTTAGTCGAAGTTTATGATCTACAATTTCACAAGACATCCTCGGTGGCATGGATTATTAATGATTTTTCAACATTTCTTTTGCTATGCATGAACTCAAATTTGTATTTGCTATAACAGAACGACAGGTTGCAAAACGCAATGAGGTTGTTAAAAGACATGTACCTGATTGGAGACAACGTCGTTGTCACACTCGTACACACAGCGTCCGTACGGCCCAGTTCTCAGCGCCTCGGTCAGATTCTCTACATCCACCGGCTCCTGGGGACACACCTGGCTGACTGGGAAGTCTGTCAGGCCCTGGTGTACAACACAGAAAAAAGTTTACACAGAAGTGTCAATAGAATTACTCAAGTCTATGTCTGTGACAATTTATGTCTCCACCAAAAAATAGATACTCAAGGATATGATTTGGGAGAATATTAGATGTTTCAGGTAGCATCAACTACCTTTCGTCAATAACACTAGTGAGATCTCAAGATCAACAGGTTTGCAATCCTCTATGACAGTTTTGGTGTCTAGGAAGTGTGCATGTTGTCATGACTCGGTTCCTGTGTGAATTTGATGTTGTCTTGTGTAAACTTTGCCTACATTGTGTTTCTTATTGGACTTTTAGAAATTTGTTATCACTATTTTTTGTATATCAACCAATAGTTTGAGGTTATAAACCTGTTGATCTTGAGCTCTAACCAGTGTCATTGCACGAAAGGTAGTGGATGCTAACTGAAACATCTAAAAAAGAAAACTGCTTTTTGGGCATATCTTATTACCAGGATATCTATCCTCCATCAACACATTTTATGGTCTATTAACACGCATTTTAGCAGGCCTTTTCAGTGGTAAAGTATTACAAAAGACTGCAGGGCTTCTGCTTTCTGAGTTTTATCTAAACATACAAAAGAGCAGGTAGATTTCTAAAATGTAATGTTAACCTTCTAGCTCATATTAAACACAGAATTGCCTAGTCAGATCAGTGTAATGTCACCTGTTTCACCCTCTCCAGGTAGATCTTCTTGGCCGAATAAGGACAGGTGTTCTCCACCTGGCAGTCCACACACCTGCTGCCTGCACCTGCCGGCTGGGAGGAACGTCACAAACGTACTATTGTTGTTGTTGTTTACTGTTTACTTTTACTACAATGGCAACAACATTGATTTTGAAAACCAATTTGTCACCCTGACATTACATTGGATGCATTTCAACGTTTTCAGGCTTCTGGAAGGCATTAGGGGATTTTGTAACTTAAGATAACATGGAAACGTTTTGTATGTAACTTCGAAGCAGAAAGGTGAAATCAAATAAGGTTTTACACCAGATCCTGAATTCCAGCATCCCGAAGACATTGTTATTCATGTAAATAAAGACGTTCACGACGGTTATTAGGTCGTCATTCTATAAGGTCGTCACTGGACCTGGGGGTTAAAGGTCAATGAAATGTTACTTGACTTAACGTTCTTACCTTGTTCTCGGGCCTGAAATGCATGAGGCTTCCAAATGACGACACCTTGACACACCTGTTCAAAAAGAACGACTTTTTTGTATAATAGTAAACCCAGCAAAGTAGGAATTTGGAGATTTGCAGATAAACGTTTCTCTTAAGTTACTGACACGGCCAAAGACGGGTCTATTTTTGCAGCTCTGCATTTTTGACAGGCACTTGGTAGGTACGAATTTTTTGACAACACACATACACACAGACATAGTCATAGACACACACATACACACACACAAAAACACAGATACATACATACACACATACATACGCACACACGCGCACACGCACACACACACACGTACACTCATATACGAACAAACACACACACACACACTCATACACACATACATATTACGCACGCACATACGCACACATGCGCGCGCGCACACACACACACACGCTGGCAACACAAAGAGATAAGCACTAAAGGTTCTGATAAGGAGTTGGAGACAAAACATTTTGCTACTACAAGGTACAGCAGTAAATGATGCATCAATTAACCTCGACCCGCTGAGCCAGTATCCTATCAGATCAATGTCGTGGGAACCTTTGGTGAGGAGTGAGGAACAGCTGCCAGCTGTGGTCCGGTGGTCTCCTCGGACGAAGTGGTGCGCAAAGAACCAGAATCCCGCCTAGGATTTAATCATGGAAGGATTTTCATGCAAGTAAGACTTACTTTGTTGCACGAAATAAATCATCAGTAAGAAAATATCTGAACTTGAAATTTGTTGTTGATGTCACCGCGGTATATGGAAAGCCATGGTATACATATTCATTTCCATATATATTAGTTCCTCTGTACTGAACTCAACCTATTAAGCTGAGCTCACATTTCCAAACCGGGGCCCGGCCGGGCTGCTTTGATTAACGAGTTCCAAGTACATGTAGTTGTATTTTATATCATACTTTTCGTTTCATAAGACGGCAGTTTTGAAAGGGCCGGGCCCTGTTTTGGAAATGTGACCCCAGCATTAGTTAAGTAAACTTGAACTCAGTTAGTAACATTTAATACATGAATATAGCTAGAAATCTATTTTTATAAATAGCCTTCTATATTCTATGGTAGGTTAAATACATTTACTATATTTATGTCATAAAGACATCAATTGACAAATATTTATGAATGAAAGGAATATTTTACCGGTTCCATGTGTTGGATGTGGACTATGTCTCCGATGGCTCCACTGTCAATCAGTTCCTACAAAACACAGAGCGCAGAACAATTAGATATTCCTGACTTCTGCAAAGCATTTCGGTTTTGTTCGTTTATGACCAAATTTCTTGTGGCTGATCTTCTGACCTACTGTCATTTCCCTAACCATGAGTTGTTGACCTACTTTCAAGTTAACCACAGTTTCTGTGTCTGACCTTTTGACCTCTGTCAGCTGCTGACTTTCTCCTATCCACGTGCTGTCAACCTGTATCTGTTTATAATAAATAATCTTTAATGCTCGACAGTTGTACATGGTACAATGTATGGCAAGGATGGCAATGTGATCTTTACAATCATACTAGTCAATTCTTGGAAACTAAAACTACATGAATACAACGTGAATGGCGTATTGACATGATGTACATTATATTAAACATTTCTGTCTGTCACGATTCTTTCTCTTTTCTACAGCGTTACAAACGTATTGGCCTAGGTACATAGATATGGAGTCGGGGCATGACATAAGTAGATTGGAAGTCAGACAGTCAACAGCTGACAGCCACCCGAAACAATACCTTCGTAAACGGAAATCTTTAGGATGAGTTTTTTTAAAATGTTTTCTGGTAAACAAATTAGTGTAAGAAAAACAGATAGCTAAATGTTGCCCAATTGAGGTTGCCCAAATGTTGCCCAAATCTATTGCATAATATGATAAGGGAAGTAGATTTGAGTTTGTTTTTGGCTTCCCTGTTGTGCATAAAGTTAAACAGTTGATTGCTTTACAGAGCTTTAAGTAAGCAACGTATGTGTATCGTTTTATCCTATTATCCTGCATTGGTGTCTACTTGAATATAAAGGTTCTTAAAACAAAGTATGTGTAAGCAGGAGAAACCTGGTAACTCTGTCTGCTTCGTGAAGTTAACCAGTTCATTCTAATATGTGGATTTCAACGTCATTGATTTAAAGGCCCATTATGTAACTTTTTACGCAAAAATCCCCAAAGGGGACGTAGGCCACAGCACTGGCAGTTGTCAACCATATCATATGTGCGGTACCGAATAGGAGATCATTTAGTTTTCTATCATGCTTATATGGAGCAAGGTTGTTGCATTTTCTATTGCTGAATATTGTTCTGGGATACTAATTAACGGGTTAGGTCAACTTACTATGTAAAGAAAAAAATGGAAAATATACTTTTCGTATTGTCAAAAAGTTACATAATGAGCCTTTAAACCTTTGTACCTTGATTTTCCTGACATGTGGAGAGTACCTCAACACGAAACCCACAGATAGGATGACGTTGTTCCTCTCACAGGCTGCTACAACCTCACGACAGTCCTCCTCTGTAAGCTGGGAAATGTATGGGTGGTGTCACTGTAGGTATTGTAGCACTTGCAAACAGAATAGGTGTACTAAACGTAATGAGAAATCGAAGATTCCATGTCTTCTTTAATTATTGACTGTTCTCCCAGCCTCTAAGGAGACAATTTCACCTCAAATTCGTTCTTGTTAGTCTGCGGTTACATCATTTCCACCCTCCCGTATTGTGACTTATATTCCGTACTCAAATAACCATGAAGACACAAGCAAATAGACACAGAGACTAAATCCATCATGTATATGATGGAATTAGCTGAGTCCATTTTGGAAGCATAAATGGAGTACTTTATCCAAATCACGCATTTCTATAGAGACCAGTATGGATTCGAGGGGTTCAAACTGGAATGAATATCAAATATTGTTGAGCTGAGCCGATTTTATCTGAAGAGATTCTGATTCAGTAACATGAAAACAATCTAATCAGTTATCAGACAAAATGTTTTCATACAAGCGTTGTAAGCACTCTCCTCTTTTTTTCAAAGATTGGTTAGTACACAGTGTAACACGTACTGCCATGGGTTTCTCCAGTAGCATGTGGTAGCCTCTGTCAGCAAACACCACGGCAGGAGCTTTGTGCAGCTGGTCCGGGGTTGCTATGACAACACAGTCGGCAAACTTCTCCCTCTCCGCGGCTTTCTGCCAGTCTGGACAAATGAGATTAGTGCGGACATTGACATCTGAGAGTAGTGGGGACATTGACATCAGAGTAGTGAGGACATTGACATCTGAGGGTAGTGAGGACATTGACATCTGAGGGTAGTGAGGACATTGACATCTGAGAGTAGTGGGAACATGTTTTTGGGAAGTACTAACAGTGCAATGTAAACCTTTAGACCGCCACAGGATTTTAAAACTTTAAAAAAATCTATCTAAGAGTTGTTTTCAGTGCAAGAAGTTACAAGTGTTGAGTGGCACTTATTTATGCTATGTTTGTTTGTTTGTTTGTTAGAATATGAAGTGAGCGGGCGGAGATTGTGTTTCGTTAGGATGACATGGTATTGCCACGTAGATTCGCCAGGAAATTATGGCTCATAAACCATGGAGTAACAGCAGAATAAGTTCCATCTCTTGATATAATTGTATGTGTAACATTTCATGCTCATGTCGTGTCTATATCTACTATACATGTACCTATCTATATCTACTATGTACAAAACTATATTTACTATCTATTTATGATTATGTTTACCTCTAATAAATACAATTGATACCTCTAATTACTGATGATAACTATAGATATATTGTAATAATGTTCATCCGTGGCTAAAGCATGTTCTTTTATGAACCTGTTTAGTTCTGTATATGTGCATTTGTTTTGTAATAAGTCTAAACTATATCTACTCTAATACCGAAAGTGAGATATCTCTGTTTCTTGTTTTGTGCCAAAATGATGGATGGGTCGTTTGAATAGCATAAATGTTATTAAACTAGACACTTAGAAATACATAGTCTCATACTGGTTGATGACATAAATTTTACATGCATAATCTACATAGCTAGTGCAGCATAAACAAATGTAACACAAATGGAGGTACCTAGGCGGTTGTAAATTTTACCTGTGAAGACATTCTCCTCGGGAATGTTGAACTCCTGCTGAAGACGTTGGCGCCTGAACGGCTCAGGGTCGGCAACACCTACCACCTGGAAAATGTCACTTTTAATAAGCGCCACTAGCGGTGTATTTGGAAAACGGAAAGCAAGATCATTGAACCCAATTTGAGCCTGGGTGCAATGCAAGCTACAACACCAAACAAACCTCAATTTCTTTAGACTGTCGAAATTTAGTAACCGTCAGGTGAACGTTTAAAAATGATGCACAAAATTGATATCAGAATTAAACCCATCGCCTGTTGTTTATTAAACAAAAATGTCCGATATTCAGCTGGACAAAGGTTAAGAAGTCTCGCGAGGAAAGGCGAGACTATGCGGGATGAGGGGGCATTCTGTATCTACATCACTGGGAAAATTCTGAACTCTACCCACCTGGAAGCGCTCACTGTTGTCCAATGAGAACCTGGCATACATCTCTCCTCTGTTTCCTGCGCCAATAATCAGGGCCCTGACTGGAGCCATGGCCTCTCACAGGGCAATTTCACCTGGAATACAATAATTATGAGTAAAAAAATGTACAGAAACTTGTGTGATGTCTTAGACAGATCAGTGTGTACAACATCGTTTAACATATACGATACACAGCGGAAAGGGATAGAAAAGAATATATAATGAAGTGCAGCTCAAAGTGTTTGTTCAAAGGTCGATTTGGCACATTTTGAACCTTTTGCCCACAACCCACACGACAAAGACGATCTGTGATCTGTATATCACTAACCTGACTGTCCACTTGGTTAAGTTGCCGTGTGAGACCCACAGTGCTGGAGACAGGACGTGATGAGGCTACAGACAGTAACAGACTCCAGACGTCACAAGACACGTAACGTCAGGTCTGTACATTAAACCCGTGACTCGACAACAAACCAAGCTCGCAAGGTCAAGTCCGAAGTCCGTCCTAGCCTCGTTCCAGCATTAGGTCAGGGGAGAAATTCCAAGATGGCGGACATGCTACACCTGTTATACCCCTCTTAGTGCCCGGGTCACAGCTTGCTTTCGTTAATAAGTCGGCCAGGAATCCCCAATGAAGGACAGAAGTTGAACACCTTCGTGCCTGGCGCATACAACTACAGTTATACTGTTGCAAAGTTGGTATAAACCCTCGGCGTTGGCGAAAATTGTGTGAATGCTGGAATTTGTGGCGGCTGTCCGACGAGATGTGATGCGCCATTACTCCGTCTAGCTTCCGTAATGCGTGTGGTTTGTGCGTTACATATCTCGCCGAGGATTCTTAAAAAAACTACGGTATCGTTTACAGGAATTTTATGTGCATCTCCAACGGTAGGTGACGTTGAATTCTGATTGTAATCTCGGGTTATACACTAAGTAAACATGGAGGCACTGTTGAACAAATTAGACGAAATGAAGACCGAGAATGCCAACAACTTTTCTAAACTTAATGACAAGATTGATGCTATGAAATCTGACATAGAACGGATGGGAGACGTGCTGAGTTCACACGATGAGAATTTTGTAGAGCAGGGTCGCCACATTTTAGAACTACAAGCTAAAATTGCGGCACTAGAAGCGCGACAATTCCACGCTGACCAATATTCGCGCAAAAACTGCCTACGCATCTGGGGACTCCCTGGTAACTATGACAATACGAATCTCCTTGCAAAGTTCTTGGAGTTTGCTGCATCAACTCTGAAAGTAAATGTTGCGGCGACAGACATCGATAACATTCACTACTTAGGGAAAGGTACTGGCCGGCACGTGATAATCAAGTTTACTACTTTCCTAGCCAAAAGGAAAGTCTATGATGCCAGGTGTATCATAGACTTGATACACCTAAAAATGAAGCTGGCCATTTAATCTCGATGAGAGACAGCCTTTCTTTTTGTCATATCTCGCTAATTGCTGGCATTTATATATATTAGCAGCTGGGGAAGGGGGTATTGTGTTCCTTAAACAAATAGATTTTAGGCTATTTTTTAGACTAAGGTGAGACCATCTATCTATCTCTATCTATTGATTTATTACCTTCGCCAAGAAGGTTATGTTTTCTGGCTGATCTGAAATGGGAAGATAATGTTTCAGGGATGCTTTCAAAAGCAAACAGCCGTCTCTTTCTGTTAGGGCGATTGCGAAACTTTCATGTATCAGTTCAGGACTTACTACTGGTCTATACGTCATTTGTCAGACCTGTGGTTGAATACTGTGTTCCCGTATGGAATCCTGGACTCACGTGCAAGCAGATTACAAGATTGGAGCATGTTCAAAAGAGAGCTCTGTGCACAACCCTTAAAGGACAATACAGCTCATATGACTCATCCCTGCAGTTAACAAGACTCAAGTCATTGAAGGACAGAAGAGAAGACCTATGTCTCAAATTTGCTACAAAACTGAACCCTGATCTCCTACCCCCTAAGGTGGGTGAACTCTCAGGAAGACACACAAGTAAGTCTAAAAACTACTAAATACAGGACCAACAGATATAAGAACTCTCCAGTACCCTACCTAGTTCGTCTATTGAACAATTCCTTCAAATAATGTTTATCGTAATTCTTTAGCGCAACGGCCTACTTTATGATACCTAGTTATCTTTCGCTACTACAATTGACATTGATATCACACGAGTTGTTTGTGAGTGCTGCGGAAGTGTAACGTTTATTCGAGCGATTGACTGTGATTTGCCCATACAACTTTTCATAACTATGTTATGGCGGTTAGGATGTTTAATCTTTCCTCTAATCCTGTTATTATCATGTAGGTAAATGTTAGTATTTCATATAATTATGCCATAGATTGTTTTAATGTTGAACTTTTTATGAAATGTTTAAATTGCTATTTTAGTGTAATTAGTGTATAACGATAAAGATTTAATCGAAAAACTTACTAATTTTGATTTGTTATGTCAGAAATGTTAACTAAGAAGGCAAACTGTACAGCAAGACACAATTTAGCCAATGGCTACAAGTTCTTATTTGTTTTCACAAATAAACCATTTGATTGATTGATTTTCAGAGGCGTCCGTGTGTGTGTGTGTGTGTCTGTGTGTCTGTAAACACGATAACTCGAGAAGGCTTAGATGGATTTACTTCATATTTAGCAGGTGGGTAGATCTTGATGAGACCTCGAAATGGTTAGATTGTGAGCCCCCTAGCAACTTCCTATGGTACTGCAACTGAACTTCCGGTTTTGATATCTAATGATTTGGACTGGCTGGGGTCACGAAATGTGGATAGTAGGAAGCTCTTGTGCTCGAGAAGACGTGACGTGAGTTTGGGTCCCCTGGCGGCTTGCTCTAGAACTGCAGGGGCATTTGTTTTAATATACAAAAGATGATAACTCAAGAACCGGTTGAGGGATCGTCTTGATTTTTGGTATGTAGGCAGCTAGATATGTTTAGGTATTGCAGACAGTGGAAATGACCAGAGAAGTGGACTGGAGCTAGAGCTAGGATGGATATGGATGCCAAGCTCTCTGATAAAGAGCCATGCAGGCGTGATATCCAAGATGGCGGCGTCAGGAGAACTGTTGTAACGCGTACAAAGGTGCGATGAAATCAAGCAGAATAGTTGTTAAGCACAGGGAGGCTTTAAAGAGTCAAAATAACGTTTGCAAAAACACTAGAAAGAAACATTATGACGACCCCGGTCTGCAAAGAATCGTATGTTTTTATTCGTAATATGTATACGTTTTGCGTAGTGCTTAGTGCGTTTTTTTTCATAAGATCACATAGTGCACGTGCTTCTTGCGTTTTTTCATCAAATACTAATGGATTTCATTAAACAAAAGCACCCCTGTCTTTGGTACAGTTATTTATGGTCCTCACTCGGGCTTGCCTCAGTCAAGATGCTTCTGACTTGTCGGAAAAAAATATGCTGCTCCAAACCTTTTCACATAACCAGTAACCTCAAATTGGCCGTGTCATCTTACGTGGTAACAATTAATTACGATATGGCGTTTAGTAACGTTTAATGACAACTCACGCAATCTGGGTGTAATTGTGAAATAGTTGCTTCAGATCAGAGGTTACTTTATCCTTCATATGTGTACTCTGTAAATTTCATTTTCTTATAGTTATAAAGTACACATTTTTACTCCTCATTAGATACATGGGATGTTATCTGATGTTTCCCCAAAGCACTCTATATCAATAGGACCTTAGATGGATAACCATTGTATCTTGATGATGCGATATTACTGAAGGGGCCAATGAGGTGAGTATTGATATATATACGTTGAATAGGGCCGTTGATTGATAATTATTATACCTTGATTATGTGATATTACTGAAGAACCCAATGAGGTGAGCACTGATATATACGTAAAGGTATAAGTATGACCGTCTGGGTTTATGGTAACGACTATCCTGTAGCTGTGCTCAGCTATAGGAACCATCTGGGTTTATGGTAATGACTGTCCTGTAGCTGTGCTCAGCTATAAGAACCGTCAGGGTTTAGGGTAATTACTGTTCTGTAGCTGTGCTCAGCGATGGGAACCGTCATGGTCTATGGTAATGGCTGTCCTGTAGCTGTACTCAGCTATGGGATCCGTCAGGGTATATGGTAATGACTATTCTGTAGCTGTCCTCAGCTATAGGAACCGTCAGTGTTTAGGGTAATGACTATTCTGTAGCTGTGCTAGGCGATGGAAACCGTCATGGTCTATGGTAATGGCTGTCCTGTAGCTGTACTTAGCTATAGGAACCGTCAAGGTTTATGGTAATGACTGTCCTGTAGCTATGCACAGCTATAGGAACCGTCTAAGTTTATGGCAATTACTCTGTCCTGTAGCTGTGATCAGCTATAGGAACTGTCTGGGTTTATGGTAATGGCTCTGTCCAGCAGCTATGCACAGCTATAGGAACCGTCTGGGTTTATGGTAATGACTGTCCTGTAACTGTGCTCAGCTATAGGAACCTTCAGGGTTTATGGTAATGTCTGTCCTGTAGCTATGCTAAGCTATATGAACCGTCAGGGTTTATGGTAATGACTTTGTCTATAGCTGCACTTAGCTATAAGAACCGCCAGGGCTTATGGTAGTGACTGCTCTGTAGCTGTGCTAAGCTATAGGAACCGTAAGGGTTTATGGTAATGACTGTTCTGTAGGTATGCTCAGCTATGGGAACCGTCAGGGTTTATGGTATGTTCTGTCCTGTAGCTGTGCTCAGCAATAGGAACCGTCAGGGTTTATGGTAATGTCTCTGTCCTGTAGCTGTGTTCAGCTATAGGAACCTTCAGGGTTTATGGTAATGTCTCTGTCCTGTAGCTGTTGTCAGCTATAGGAACCGTCAGGGTTTATGGTAATGTCTCTGTCCTGTAGCTGTTACCGTTCTGTCCTGTAGCTGTTGTCAGCTATAAGAACCATCTGGGTTTATGGTAATGATTCTGTCCTTCAGGGTTTATGGTAATGTCTCTGTCTTGTAGCTTTGTTAAGCTATAGGAACCGTCAGGGTTTATGGTAATGTCTCTGTCCTGTAGCTGTGTTCAGCTATAGGAACCGTCAGGGTTTATGGTAATGTTCTGTCCTGTAGCTGATGCCAGCTATAGGAACCTTCAGGGTTTATGGTAATTACTCTGTCCTGTAGCTGTGCTCAGCCATAGGAACCGTCAGGGTTCATGGTAATTACTCTGTCCTGTAGCTGTGCTCAGCTATAAGAACCATCTGGGTTTATGGTAATGATTCTGTCCTTCAGGGTTTATGGTAATGTCTCTGTCCTGTAGCTGTGTTAAGCTATAGGAGCCGTCAGGGTTTATGGTAATGTCTCTGTCCTGTAGCTGTGCTCAGCTTTAGGAACCTTCAGGGTTTATGGTAATGACTGTCCTGTAGCTGTGCTCAGCTAAATAAACCATCAGGGGTTATGGTAATGACTCCGTCCTGTAGCTGTGCTCAGCTATAGGAAACTTCAGTGTTTATGGTAATGACTCTGTCCTGTAGCTATGCTCAGCTATAGAAACCGTCAGGGTTTATTGTAATAACTTTGCACTGTAGCTGTGCTCAGCTATAGGAACCGTCAGGGTTTATTGTAATAACTTTGCACTGTAGCTGTGCTCAGCTATAGGAACCTTCAGGGTTTATGGTAATGACTGTCCTGTAGCTGTGCACAGCTATAGGAACCGTCAGGGTTTATGGTAATAACTTTGCACTGTAGCTTGGCATAGCTATAGGAACCGTCAGGGTTTACGGTAATAACGTTGCACTGTAACTGTGTACAGCTATAGGAACCGTCAGGGTTTATGGTAATAACTTTGTCTTGTAGCTGCGCTCAGCTATAGGAACCGTCTGGGTTTATGGTAATAACTTTGCACTGTAACTGTGCACAGCTATAGGAACCGTCGGAGTTTATGGTAATGATTCTGTCTATAGCTGCGCTTAGTTATGGGAACCATCAGGGTTTATGGTAATGACCCTGTCCTGCAAACGAGCCTGCTCAGCAGCAAACACCAGCTGGTGGCTCTGCAGAGTCTCCTGTGGTTCGGTCAGTACGCAGGATCGGTCACCGTTCTGAAAATAAATGTCTATATAAATCTCAGGAAATACATTTTTCTTATTGCACTTAGACCAACATTAGACCAGAGCAGAGCAAGCGGGCATTGAGACAATATTTTTTAAATATTTTCAGGACAAAATTTAGCTATCAGCTTTCTCCAGAAACCGCTGAACATGTGGCACTTATAACCTGCACAGTGTTGGGTTCTCCAAAAACAAAATTTTAAGGGAAGAGATTTCATTTGCTTACTAACATAGACAAGTAGACCAACTTTGTTAGTCTTGAAAAAAAGAAAAGGCATCACTGTGCGCACTATATGGGGTGCCATAATGTTGCAGTTCAGAACTATTAAAAGTCTACATGTTGCAGTTCAGAACTATTAAAAGTCTACATAGATCAGTAAAAGAAAATCAGAGGTAACAGTCATTTATAAACATGGTTGCTGTTTTGTAGTTAAAAATCTCGTTAAACCATTATATATATGATAGTAAATATAACTGCAGACCAAGGAAGGCTATGGAGTGACATTACAAAGCTGCACAAGCTTGTAAGAGCCTTGTCTTATCTATTTATCCACGTTCCGACATTCCAACAGACATCTTTACCCATTTTTGGCATGCTGACCACTGTCAGGGCAACAAAATTTCTTGTTTATTTTTTTAATATCAGGCTAAAATTAATGCACGCGCTGATGTCATCCATAAATATTACTTGCTGTGACCATAACACACACTTACTTCAACAGCCTTGACAAAAGCATCCATCAGGAAGTAATCACCGCCATGCATTTCACGCATCTTGTTAGGGGGCGCTGCTGCACAGGGATGTTCCGTGGATGTCTGAGTCAGGAAGTCAAACACATACACGGGACCGGGACTGGACCAGCGCAGCTCTCCCTGGACACAAACGTGATGATGAGTAATACAATAAGCATTCCTGGGATGTATAATGCATTCTCCATCTTTTTGAATAGTGAGTGCTCCAATTGATAATGGTTTAACCTCAATGAACAATGGAGATTATAGATTAGTCAGTGTCTGTTTGAAGTCTAGCTTTTAAAAAGCTGGTTTCTTGACATACTAAGGTCGTGGTTTTTGTGATGCACAAAGCACGTGTAAATGTAAAGACATGATGTGAGTTTTGAACGTCTAGTAGCTTATTCTAGACCTTCAGGGTAGTTTTCGTTAACATCTTCTGAAGAGAATCGGGTTTTCATGACTTGAGGTATGGACGTAGCTTAGATGCAGACAGATATACACAATGATATTGAAATCATGCAGGATACATTTGCATGACTAAATTCTTTCATGGCAGTTTTCTTCATGCATATGTATCTTTTGGACATGCCATGGCCTGGGTGTTTGAGTGGCACCTAAATTTGACTCAAGTATATGTTTGGGCCCCCATGAAAGTTAATGACTTTGCTAAAAGCAGGAAAGAAAGCAAGATAAAAGCTTGGATCATTGAAAATACCATCTGATATGACCGCCTCACCTTGGTGCCTGAGATCCTGGTCTGTCGCTCACAGACCTCCTGTGTGAAGCCCACCATGTCGAAGGAAACCGTTTGGCCACCATCGAACTGGAAGTTCACCACCTAGATAGGAATAACAACAAGAATTTGAATTCATATTTGTTTTTTAACCTCTACGCGCGAACGATTTGATTTTGGTGCCATCTTTTCTGTACGTGTTCGTTGTTATCTAGGAGAGAATGGTCGGAAATAGAAAAAATGTAGTAGAATAAGTCAATTTTTCAACTTTGGCTGCTGACACGCCATTCAATGTCAGGGTCAAGTAAATAGACTACTAATCATCGGGGAGGTATTGTTTTGGTCGGTTTTATTTTTAGTTATACTTTTCCTTCATACTAGTCACGTACATCGTAGTAGGACAAAGACAGATATGCATTACATGCTGCTCAAAGCATTATTTACATAATTAATTAAGCACGATTAAATAAGAAATATGATTAGACATACTCGGAGGTATTGGATTTTTATCCTTTTTGTTTGAAATGAAAAATATGTACCTAAATTTGAACCACAAGTTAAAAGTTTTGCAACGGCCATGTACCTGATTGGAGACAACGTCGTTGTCACACTCGTACACACAGCGTCCGTACGGCCCAGTTCTCAGCGCCTCGGTCAGATTCTCTACATCCACCGGCTCCTGAGGACACACCGCACTGACTGGGAAGTCTGTCAGGCCCTGGTGTACAACACAGACAATGGATAAGTACAAATGTAGAATATCCCTCGATCAGTGAAGATTTTAGCAGGTAATCACATACCTCCAAATTTTCTACGCCCACTGTACGTCTTGATCACGGAGTGACCTCGCGAGAACACGAGACTAGGTTAAGACTTGTGTAGATCACCCCCACCCCACCCCCCACCCCCGTCTCCTTGCGGAGCAGGGGTCTACACACCAGAACATCTACACAAGTCTCGACCTAGTGTCGTGTTTTATCGAGACTAGGTCACTCCGTGATCAAGACGTACAGCGGACGTCGAAAATTTGGAGGCATGTCTTTACTTTTTTAACCCGTCACAAAGGTTTTGCACAGAGATATCTGTCCAACATAGAAAAAACTCTGAAGTTCTAAATTCTGTATCTATGGCATTTGATTGGTCGGCTAACAACAGGATCTTTCAGTCGTCGCCTCAACTGTGATGAATGATTTTAAGACCACAGGGTCCCTTTCACCCATTGCTGTTTTAGCTACTGAGTCCCACACCCTTTTAATCTGAAGAAAAGTGGCAAAAATTCAGAAAGAAACTGACTATCCTGCCTTTCATTGGTTTCTACTTTCTGAGATTCAAATAATAAAAAAACACATGGTGAAATCCTAATCCTTTAGTTCACATTTTAAAGATGTCAGACCCGTAAAGTACAATGTCACCTGTTTCACCCTCTCTAGGTAGATCTTCTTGGCCGAAAAAGGACAGGTGTTCTCCACCTGGCAGTCCACACACCTGCTGCCTGCACCTGCCGGCTGGGAGGAACGGCACAAACTTAGCTTTGTATAGTTTATTGTTTGCTTCAGACACATGGCGCATATCAATGTATCATTAAAACGCAACAAACAACAAGAAATCGGATATTTCAGACTGCCAGGATGTTTGTTTGTTTGTTTGTTTAGGATCCCATTAGTATGAATTTCACACTACTCTTAATGGAGTCCGTAGTGAATAATCTGATAAGTATTTGGACCTTCGCACACCGGGGCATGTCCTTACTCTTTTATGAAAGGTGTGGTGGGATCTTTAACGTGCATGGGGATTGACTCTCCCCAAAAACGGGACCTCCATTTAACGTCCAATCCTAGGGACGTCCCTAACCGAAGCTAGGTATTCATATCACCTGAGTGAAGTGAGTGATGTCGTGTAAATTGCCTTTCCCAAGGGCATAAGATCAGTGACAACGTAGGATTCGAACCCGGAACCCATTGGTTCAAGGCCGAACATGCTACAGCTATGCCACACACCGAGCATTCTACCGCTACGCCACACGACCCCATACTGTACATATACTGCGACCCACGCGGAATGATCTATTTAGGGTTTTCATGACCCTCCAGTTAACAGATCTTTCCTTACCGTTACGTGAATATGTTAAACTTGTAAAGTGGAGTGTATGGTGTAGTTTAATATGATATTTACATCACTTCCTGAATTCCAGAATCCTGAAGGCATTCTCGAGTTTCCCATTCCCAGGATTTTGTTAGATAAGAATTTCTTTCACCCGCTTGGATAAAATAATTCCTGATGTAGTGAGATGGCGCTGATGTCTTTTCACTATTTGGTTCTTCATCTTCCTGGACTGCTGAGGACAGAAAACAGTCATTTATGCAATGCTGTAGATAATCCGCCATCTTTCTTTAGTTCTGAAAACAAGGGGGCTAAGGTCATACATGTGACGTACTTACCTTATTTTCAAGCCCAAAGTGCATAAGACTTCCAAAGGATGACACCCTGACGCACCTGTGAAAAAATAGACACGATTTTTCATTATACATAACGGTAAACCCAGATGACTAAATACTAGGGTACAATACAAATCGCAACAAACAAAACAAGAATTTGGAGATTTTATCCTCCAGAAAAAGAGTATCTGAGAATTTGTCTGACGGGTCAACATTAATATACGTATGATTCAAGATGGCGGCGACGGAGGTAGCGACGATGCCTCGCTCCTGCTAATATAAGTCTAATAGTGTCCTTTCTGAGTTTAAATTCAATATTTTTTCAAGCAAAACGTTTTACTTTTGTACTTTCATCAACTCTGATCCATATTGAGTTGATTTTTCTACCCTCTTCGTGGGAAATTACGACATTTACCGCTGACGCGAAACCCAAGCCAAGCCACGCACGCCATGACCGACTCAGGTGCTCACGAGGAGCTGTACTCCATACTTGGATTGTCGTCTACGGCAACCCATGATGACATCGTGGAAGCCTACAAAAAGGAGGTCAGACTGTACGAAGAGGCAACAAAACTCGGTAAAAAGAGTAGGGTTTTCAAGGAGGCGGAGGCGAAACATAAGGAGGTAAGCAAGTCTTTTATGGTCTTGTCTGACGCGTCCCGGAGACAACAGTATGATGACAGCGGCGCTGTAACTGTCCCTCCAAGATTCACAACGAGATCGAGTAAGCAGACGAAGAACTATTGTGTCAATCAAAACGAGCAAAGCCTCACCATATTCCTGCCACCAAACATGTCTAGTTCTTGGCTCGCCACATGCGAAGAACACTACGCTACCCGGGCGATAGACAGGGGGAAGAACGGACGCCACATCAAAACCACATTCATCGACGCCAAATCTAAAGAAGTTGTTGGATCAGTTAGCCTCACTGTGTACGAATCTACTGAGAAGATCCTAGTGCAAGGCTCCGCATATCTGTTGTGGTTCCTTGAAACTTTTCCTAGCTTGAAAGTGAAAACTGGCTCTATGTGTACCAGTGACGAAGTGAGCATTCTATCTCAAACGTCAAGCCCTGGAGACACTATGTCTACCCCCACAACTGACCATGGTTATCCCAGTACCTTGTGCCCAACTTGTGAGCAACCTTTGCAGTCTGATACGTGTGCTACATGTACTACTGTACCTAAAGTGTTGCTAGACTGTAACAGTAATGACATGACTTCGAATGAAGATTCACCCCAGCTCCAAGAAAACATGACGGCTGTCACTCACATCGATTGTTCTATTGTCCAAGACAATGTGTACAAACTGGAGGCTTGTCTTGCCGAATCTATCACAGACCGAAAAACGTCTGAAGCCTCTATTTTGCAACGGCTCTCCGCGCTGGAGAACAGAATGAAAACCCGCGAGCAAAACCATGTGTGTAACGGGCTGTCTGCATCGGAGAAAGAGGAACTTGTAAAAGACATTGCGCGTTTGGAAAGTGCCAAAAGGGAGCTTGAGAATCAGGTGAAATCGCTGCAACGTAAGTACGACGAACTTTCGAGCGCTATAACTGAGGCACGATCAGCTAGTTTGCACACTCCAGAGTCCAAATCTATGGAGACACAAACCACACACGATTCTTCAGATCGCGCCGACAAATTACTGTATGAACTAGCTACAGTCAGCGTTCACAACAGGTTCCAACCTCTGGATGAAGAGAACAATAAGGCCAGTGAAGTCTATGCGGCTTCAAACAGAGGCGCGAAACGCCGTGAAGAAACACCCAACTCAAGTGTAAATCAACCGCCTATTCAGGACAAGACAGAGCGCAGACACACAGTCTCAGCCACTAGACAACATCAACACAACAGAGAGATGCCGCCAGACGTGATAATCCTTGGTGATTCTTGGTGATTCGAACACTAAAACAATTAAACCCGATGTCATGTATCCAGGTAAACGCGTGATAAAGGCGCAGACTTTCAACCTGCCGCAGGCTACTGAATACATTCAACGCTCAACCATGCCCGACCCCAAAGTTCTACTTTTCCATGTCGGGACCAACGACATTCGTGACGCGCGGGATTCCACAACTGTGTCTGAGAACTTCCGACAGCTTATCCATACCTCCCACGATAAGTTTCCCCACACTGCACTAGTCTTCTCATCTATCCCTCCCAGACGCGACGCTACCCTACAGGAGATAGGAGGCGAAGTGAACTCTTTCCTAGGAATTGTGGCGGAAGAACACAGCTTTGTGCACGTCACGGACAACAGTGGTCTATCTGATGTGGGGTCTATCAAGGAATCACTGTACAACTCAGATGGCTACCACCTGAATAGGTTTGGAGTTCGCGTTCTTGTGTCCAGCATGAAGAAAGTGATCAACCCCATCCTAGGACTGGGCCAGTACACCAACAGGGGCACAAGTCTACAGTCTTCCCAGGGCCCATGTGGTACCGGTAGGCCGCCCAGATTCCAACCGGCGCATGACCATAGGCAGTCACCTGGTCCACCCAGGCCAGGGTCTTCCCCACCGCAAGGTCAAGGTCTTCATCGAAGTGCACCTGCATCCAGCCAACACCCGGCACAAGTACTAACCGGTAGTACACCAGGGGCTATGCAGTCACCGCCGATGGAACATCCAGCTACCAACAGACTGCATCGTACGGGGTTCGATGGACCGTCCCACACTGGTCCCAGGAACAGCCCCTCCACAGGCCAACCTCAAGGTCAAGGTCAGACTCAACGCTCAACCAGCATGATCAGCCCTCCACCAGTGACGACACGCTTCATGCCGAACCTGCGACCGGGTCCATGGAGTGGCCCGCCGTACTTCCCAACCGCGCCATGGAGTCTTCCACCTATGAACAATCCAGTACCAAGCCGACCTCACCGCGTGGCCCCACCGCCTTGGCCTTGGCACCCAGCACTGATGTGGCCGCCCATGGTGTGGTAGGACAAGTATCTTATAGTTAGTAACACGGACCTTATAAAATATAGTTCCGGTTAGTCATTCTTATCCATCAACTTTATGAGAATACTCTCTTTGTATATTTAGATAGTTATTACATGTAGGTTAGCATGTAATTAGTTACCCTAAATTGTTTAAACACGCTGTTAAATATTGAATACTCGGTTAAGGACACAGATTTTACTTGTATTGCTATTCGAAGTCTATTTCTCATAAATCATGAAAACGTTTCCTGGTGGCAGTAGCAAGAGCTTCGCTATTTGGAATGTCCATGGTCTCGGTTCTAAATTAGAAGACGTCGATTTTTTGGCGCAAGTTAATAAGTTCGACTTCTTTTCGCTTCAGGAAACATGGACTACTGAAAACACAAAAATTAACATAACAAATTACAGTAATTTCCATTTACACAGAACAAAGAGCAAACGAGCCAAACGCTCCTCGGGGGGTATTTTATTTTTCTATAGAAATGAGTTTAAAAATTACGTAAAGAAACTTCCGTCAAAATCGACGGACACCCTTTGGGTGCGAATCGATCGCGAGCTCCTAGGACTTTCTAAAGACTTGTTCATCTGTTCAGCATATATTAGCCCAAGCTCCTCAATTACACATAAAAACTCCGAAAATCACGTTTTAGAAGTTCTTGAAAATGACATCTCTGAGTACAGTACGCAAGGGTTCATACTACTCGGAGGGGATCTTAACGCCCGTTTCGGTAATTTACGAGATTATGTTCAGGACAGCAACATTCAAAATGACGACAATCAATTTGTAAATTCCAACCTTGATTCTGATAGACAATTCATGGACAAAGCTCCACCAAACAAATTTGGTAGACTATTGTGTGATCTGTGTATACAAGCCAATCTATGTTTACTGAACGGCAGGGTAGCCGGTGACCTACAGGGAAAATTTACATGTTTCCAACCAAAAGGCAGCAGCACAGTAGATTACATGATTGCTAACCAACCCTTTTTAAAACACATTTTACTGTTCCGTGTGAATCCCTTGACCGTCTTCTCAGACCACTGCATGCTGTCAGTGTTTATCCATTCTGAAACTGCTACTCATTGTGTCCAAAAAGAACACAGAACCCCGATTGCAAGCTCCAGACCACCACCTAAAAGATTCAATTGGGACGATAAATCTGCGCAAAATTTTTTACATTCTTTAAACCAACCCCACGTCCTGCATAGATTAGACGCCATTTCGCACGATAATTTTACCAACATAACCGATTCAGACCAAATTGAAAATATTGTCTCCGAGTTTAGTTCACTTCTAAAAGCTGCTGGCCATAACTGTCTGAGTCTGAAAAGAAAAAGAAAACATGCACAGAAAAAAACAAACAAAAGATGGTTTGACAAAAGCTGCACGGAAATGAAGCGTGAAATAAAAAACCTGGCTTCCTTACTTGAAAAACACCCATCGAATCCAGAAATACGAGGACGATTCTTTAAAGTTAAAAAAGAATACAGAAAACTGGTTAAAAAGAGAAAGCGAGACTTTCACCAACAAATAATGAATCAACTATCATCACTAAAAGAAAGTAACCCGACTGCGTTTTGGAATCTTGTAAATAAGCTAAAACCTGAAAAAATAAACGATACTGATCAAATATCAGATTCAGCGTGGCTAGAACATTTTAAAGGTCTTAACAAACACGCTGATGCTATCAGTGATAGTAACATACGCGCTTCCACAGACAACGTGGACTTCTCCCCCCTCCCTCCCTCGCCGGAGAATTGTACTTTAGACAGTCTTATAACAGGGGAAGAACTAGACATAGCAATCTCCAATCTAAAAAACAAGAAATCTAGCGGGGGCGATATGGTTCTAAATGAAATGTTGAAATGCGGGAAGACCATACTAAAGAAACCCCTTCTACATATTTTTAACTCATGTCTACAAAACGGTTACTATCCCAAAGAATGGTCACTAAGTCATATTGTACCTATACATAAATCCGGGGACACTTCACTTCCCGACAATTACCGAGGAATCTCCATAATCAGTTGTCTTGGTAAACTATTCTGTTCCATTTTAAATACCCGACTAGTTAACTGTGCTGAACATTACAGCCTTCTCAAACCCCAACAGGCCGGTTTTAGGAAAAACTTCAGAACAACCGATAATGGCAGAAGCTCGTGACAAAATCGCAGATCTTGACGTTATACATTTCTGTTTGCTGTCTTTGCAGATCTAGAGCGCGAGAGGGATGACCTCCGGTCTGCCCTACAGAGAGTGGAAGCAGAGCTGGCAGAAGCTCGTGACAAAATCGCAGATCTTGACGTTATACATTTCTGTTTTGCTGTCTTTTGCAGATCTAGAGCGCGAGAGGGATGACCTCCGGTCTGCCCTACAG